TAGCAAGGATGTCCGCTCGGGTATTACAATCGCGAGAAATGAAAGATATGGTGAACTCTGTAAACTCAGAGCGTAATAGGTTGAATTCTTCTAATTCAGATGAGAGATTTGGTAGGGGTTATTGGTTCTTGTATTTTGGTAGATTTATAAATCTTCTTTGGATTTGATAAATTTATTGATTTCAAAATCACTAAAATGGAAAAAAATCAAATCTACTCAAATACCAAGGTTAGACCTTGTATTTGGGTCTTTGTATTTTAGTCATGAAAATCCTTCCAAATCCATTCAAATTCAATTAAAACTCAAATCCTTATAATATTTAGATTCTAAAATGATAGAATCAATAACACTGTATTTCATTATAGATTTTAAAATCATAGAACCAATAACACTGTATTTCAATATAAATTTTAAAATACAAGAATCAATAACACTGAATTTAGTTTGGATTCTCAAATCTATTAAAATACAAGAACAAATAACACCTCCTTGGCCAATCCTCGTTTCCATCGACAAGTTTAACAAGCTGCAGACAATCAGTCTGAAGGTGAATAGAAGATATGTCGTTCTGTCGAACGATTTTCAGGGCCCAAAGGGCTGTCTCCATTTCAGCATGGAGTGGGGAAAGGGCAGACATTCCAGCGAATGATCCTAGTAGCAGCGTTGAGTCATGATGGAGGAGGACAAGGCCACCGCCAAACATCTTATCCGCATTAACCCATGACGCATCTACTTGACATCGGTATTCACTACCTGGAACCGAATTGTCAGGTGCTTCTGCATCTCGGGTATGGGGTTCTTTACTCCTCGCCCATCGCGATCTCCAGTGTATTCATCGGAGATGTATCTAGTCCGTTGAAAATTTTATCGTTTCGGGCCTTCCATATATACCAGATAATCCATGGAAACAGTTTGATATGTTCTTCCAGCGCTCTTCGTTCTTTTGCTCTAAATAGAAGATGATCAATATTACAAAAAAGTGCATTACACGGGAATAGCTCCGGAATAGAAGGAATGGGAGACAGCGCCCAAGTCTGTAAAGTCGGCGGGCACTAAAAAAATAGATGGTTTATAGTTTCATCTTCCCCGCCACATCTCGGGCATGTTCTGTCATTCCCGCAATATCGATCACCAACCTACTACATGTAGCTAGATTCTCGGAGATCATTTGCCACAGTAGATGTTTGAGTTTCCGAGTGGTCTTTAGAGTCCAGATTTTACCTCGCAGGGCTGTTGTGCTTGGTTCGTTCATCGCCGGGGTCGCATATGTCTCTTTGATCTCACAAGCCAAATCGTATCCAGTTTTAACAGAATAGTTACCCGTTTTTGTATGTATCCAGCAGTAGCCATCAAAGTCAAAAACTCGAGAGGGTTTAAGGCTAAGGATGCAGGGGATGTCTTCGGGTGCAATCAGTTCGTGTAGCTTGTCCTCTTTCCAAGTTTTCGAATCAAAATCGATGAGGTGGTTTACATAGAGATTTTCATCTTGAATGTTGCTAACTCCTAACGCCGGCCGTGCCGGGATAACTGGAATCCAACGATCACTCCAGACTTTGGTGTTAAAACCAGATTTAATTTGCTTACGCAATCCTTCGTTCAGTAAACCTTTCGCTGCCATCATGCTTTGCCATCCATAGGAAGGGGCATTAGATTTTTCTACCTCCAGGGGATTGGAGTATCTGAAGTATCTTCCTTTTAAGACTCTGGCTAAGAGCGAATCCGGGAAGCGTAGAAGTCTCCATACTTGCTTGGCGAGGAGGGCGATATTAAAGTTTTTTAAGTCTCTGAAGCCGAGACCCCCCTTGCTCTGTGGAATGCAGATTTTATCCCATTTTATCCAGTGCAGGCCTCGGTTGTTGGATTTCGAACTCCACCAGAATCGTGCTATCGCATTGGTCATCTTATTGATTACGTCCATAGGGAGGAGGAAGCTGGACATTACAAAAGTTGGTAGCGCTTGCGCTACAGACTTCAGAAGTACTTCCTTTCCGCCCTTTGATAGCAGTTTGGCTGACCAGGCGTTCACTCTGTTATTAAGGCGTTTCTGAACATATGCAAAAACTTGTTTTTTAGATCCACATATCTTTTCTGGGAGTCCCAAGTACATGCCCATGCCCCCTTCCTTGTTTATGCCTATTGCTGTCTTGAGCGCATCCTTGCAGTCTGGGTTAACCTTACTCCCGAAAAGAATGGATGATTTGGCATAGTTTAGCTTTTGTCCTGAAGCTTTTCCATATGTATCTATAATCTTGATAACCTCCGCACAATGCGGGATTTCTGCTTTGCAGAAGAACAAACTATCGTCAGCGAATAACAAGTGTGATATAGCAGGACTTGTCTTTGCAACTTTTAGTCCCGTGATTCTTCCTTCAGCCTCCGTACCTTTCATTTGACTAATTAGCGCTTCTGTGCAGATAATAAAGAGAAAAGGGGAAAGTGGGTCACCCTGTCGTATGCCTCTCGATGGGGTGATGTTTCCTTTTGGTTCTCCGTTTATCAGGACCTGGTATGATACAGAGCTGATACAGCGCATTATCCATTGCACCCATTTTGGATCAAAACCCATTCTCAACATCAGCTTCTGGATAAAACCCCATTCCACTCTAGCATAGGCCTTGCTCATGTCAGTTTTGATGGCTACAAATTTGGAGTTGCATATGGGGTTTGTCCGCAGCGCCTGAAAGACTTCCTGAGCGATCAGAATGTTATCTGTAATAAGATGCTTGGCCACAAAAGCCGATTGTGTTTCTGAAATTAGCTTAGGTAAGTGTTTCTTCAGCCTCTTGCACAAGATCTTCGAGATGATTTTATAGCAGGCTTTGCATAGACTAATAGGACGAAACTCTCCCATTTCTCGCGGTCTTGCATTCTTCGGGATAAGACATATGTTTGTCTGGTTTAATCTTGGATCAAGGTCCCCATTTTTGAAAAAAGGATTTTACTGTTTTAGTAATGTCCTTCTCTACTGATTTCCAGCACTTCTGGAAGAACAAACCTGTCATATCATCCGGTCCTGGCGCCTTATCTGGGTTAATATCAAAAGCAGCTTGCTTGATCTCCATGTCCGAAGGCATTCTTGTAAGAGAGAGATTCATTTCAGCTGTGACTTGCGCGGTAATATACCGGAGTGCATCATCGTAATCTCTAGGATTCGACGATGTAAAGATAGAATCAAAATACTCAGTCGCCACTTGAATAATACCATCCTCCGTCTCTATCCATGAGTTGTTCGTATCTCTGAGTTTTGTGATTCTGTTCCGTGCTCGTCGTTGTTTTGTGGAGGCATGAAAAAATTTAGTATTTCGGTCCCCTTCTTTTAGCCAGTCTACACGACTTTTCTGTTTCCAGTATAGTTCATCATCCCGAAAGACCGAGCAAAGCATCCATTTAAGATTAAGAACCTCATCAGAAGATACATTATCATCGATTTGGGTGCTTTCTAATTGAGCTTTAATCTCTTCAATCTTCTTTGCAGAGTTCGCTTGGTTCCCCTTCTTCCATCGCGAGATGGCTTTTCGGCACGCCCCTATCTTAGCAAAGAGATCCATCGGGTTCAGGAGACCATCTTGGTTCCAGCTTTCTTCTACCACATCGAAGAAGCCGTTTTTGTCAAGCCACCGCTTATCAAATTTAAAGTTCTTTTGCATCTTCGAGAACCTCGACTGAATCCGTGTGAGGACTAGTCTATGGTCTGATCCCCATAGCTTCAAATACTCCACATTAGTGTGGGAAAATATATTATGCCAGTCTTCATTGCCGATTGTTCGGTCGAGGCGACATTGGACCCTGCCCGACCTTCGATAGCCAACCCATGACATAGGGTTTCCTTTGTAGGAGAAGTCAATAATTCCGCAGTTGTCTAGCATATGTGTAAACGCTAAGAAGGAGGATTCAGGTCTGCGGCGTCCTCCTTTTTTCTCGTGATTCCCGGCAATCTCATTAAAATCTCCTGTCATAAGCCAGGGTCCTGTGCGATCGAGGCTTAGTCTTGTCAATCGTTCCCACACTTGCTCGCAGCACGTGATGACCGGATCTCTATAAATAAAAGACATAAACACCTTATGTCCTTCTATTGTCGCTTCAATATCTATCATCCTGTCATTTGAGAAGAGAATTCTTACAGAATAGCAATCCATATAATACAAAGCCAGTCCACCGCTTTGACCAACCGGCTCCACGGTGAACAAATTATCATAACCAAAAGAAGTTTTAAAGTCTTGCATAAAAGAAAAGGAATTTTTTGTTTCAGAAAAGAAAAGAAAGCAATCATACAAATTACTCAATTACGTTCAAAACCATAAATTTATATATCTACGCTCATTGCATTTAAACTAGTCAACTCTTTATTGTTAAAGTTGCACAGTAGTTCACTTTTGCCTATTGAGATTATTATCAATTACATTATTACATTAGAAACTTTATAAATTTATAATATTAAATTTAATATTTTATTAAATTATAGAATTATTTCTTTATTAATTTGAAGAAAATAATTTTTTTATTAACAATTAATCAAAAAAAAATATTATGTTTTTAAAAAATTTCTAAAATTTTAAAAAAAATCATTTTAAAATTAGAGATGAGCTGCAAAAAAAATTATATAAAAAAATTTATTGAATCAGTAAAATCTCTAAAAATAAAAAAAGTTATATACAAATAGAAAAAAAAATGTAAACTTGTTGATAATATAAAACTGAAGCTCGCAGAATCACTTTTGAAGGAAACGATTTATAACGGAGAATCTATCTACAGGGAAGCAAAGAAACACGGGTACAGATAGATTTCTCAATGACATGAGAGATTTTGTGAAAACCATACAATACGACTCCAATCCTTCTTCGTTTGCCAAGATTGCAACTATTCCTAAGCTAAGGAGGCTGATAAATATTCAAGAAACGTCAATTAATGGTGAACAATGACGCCAAAGTATGCAAAATCCTAATCAATTCCAACTAGAGTAGCTTGTCAACCTACTTTCCAATGCCACCGTGACAACTTGCATTCATATACTTTGTCAGTACACAATATATATACGTCACAACGTGCATTCATAACTGCAAGAAAAAAAAGCTCCTCCAATGGCGGGTCTAAAGTCTTCTTCCCCTCCACTTTGCGAAAGGATCTCACACAAAAGCTATTTCTTAAGAGCTGTGGATCTCACAATTCTTGGTCTTCTCTTTTCTCTACTCTTGTACCGAGTCCTACATAGGAGCCCAAACGAGAACGTTTGGCTCGTTGCTTTGATCTGTGAATCTTTGTTCTCATTAACGTGGCTGACTTGTACATGCATAAAATGGAGTCCGGCTGAAGATAAAGCCTATCCAAATAGACTTGACGAAAGGTAATAATTTTATTTACACATAATACGATAATAGCACTTTCATTAGACTAGAATATTGTTATTTTGATATAGTTGTAAAATATAATTAAAATTTCATTTCAAAAAAGAATTAAACCACAATGACATCTCAAATGCGAACAAATTCTCACATTTTTTCTCCTACTTTTTTTTTCAATATTTTATTCTTAAAATACCTTGTGAAAACCATTTGATGGAGATGCTATAATCTATTTTAAATCTGTATAAAATAATATTATTGGGAAAATGAGCCTACAATTATGGTTGTGAATATTACTTTATCTACCATTTTTCAAGATATTATTGTTTAGTGTCCATTTTCAAATATCATTTTTGCAGACGTTTATAATATATCAAATTTATAAAGATTTACAAAACTTGTTTATAACAGTTTATAAAACATGTTATAAACTTTATTAACATTTAAAAGATTCATTATAAAAACTTAATAAAATAGGTTTTTATAAAGCATTATAAATTTGTTATATAAACTTTAGATATTATAAGCTTATAAACAATTTACTGACATTTATAAACGATGGTATTTTTAAAAAATAAACAGTAAACACTTGTATTTTCGAAAAATGTTATCATATAAATGATATTTCTTTTAACCCAAAAAAAAATAAGTGATATTTCTTAAAACCCTTATAATGTAATAGGTAGCTATTGGTGTTTTTAACGTAAGAATTTAAAAAGATACAAGTTGATACAATTTGATCTAGACAAGATGATCTAGGTTACGTGACAATTGGTTCGATGTCCGTTTCCCGTTTTTGAATCATCTTAATAACATAAATGCGATGGAAACGTGGAAAACACGTTGGTAATGTGGGAAACGCGTTTGAAAACGCGACGGGAACAGTGGAAACGGGACCTAAATTTGTTTGGGAAACATATATATTGGTTAAATAGTTAAGAAATGTATTATGAAATTAAATGTCAATTAGTTTCATTAGGTAAGTAAATAATCAATTTAATTTATTAGATACGATTAGTATTGGGGTACTTGATTTCAAGAGTATTTCACTCGACAAAACGTCTGTTTGTTTTCAGGTTTCGAAACGTTTTTATTTTATATATATATGTTTAAAATGTGTAAAAAACTTTTAATTAATTATATAAATAAAATAAAGTAACTAAAATTAAAATAATGAGCTTATAATGGTAGAACGAAAAGCATATATTATATGTTTTTTATTCCGAAGAAATCACAACTTTACTTATCAATAAAGAATATCATATAAAAATCCTAAACTGATGTTTATAACCCATAAAACAGATCTTAACTAGTATTTGACAAACATGATTAATAAAAAACAAATGTATCAGAACCATAACAAAAGTTAGTTATTTAATGGTGATCTCAAAATGTGATATGACAAATTTTGTAAAATAAACGAAATATTTTGATAGACTGAATTATAATTAATTAAATAAATTTATAACAGAAATACATTAAATTATATAGTAGAATTACTATAAATTAATAATGTTGGGACTCCCTAATTTTATTAATTTATAGAGCATTCATTAATCTAGAAATTATTAATTAAATAATATTTGATTAATTTATAGAGATTTTTTGGTTCAAAATCGTAATACATCAAAAGATAAGAATTAATATTTTTAACAATATAAAATTTAATCAAAAAATGTTTTAATAATGAATTTGGAAGATAAATCAAATAAAATTTCTAAATTTGAAAAAATAATATAATTATATTTTACTATATTATATTATTTATATATGTCTAAAGTATAATACTAATCTACATAATTATTGTGACCATATTTTTCCATAAAAATTCCAAAAAAAAATATTCTCTTATGAAAATTTGATAATTTTTATATTAGCTCGATTTGGTACAGAAAAAATTTTATTAATTTATAGTGATTATTAATTTATTGAGTATTAATTTATATAGATTTTACTGTAACACTAAATTAACAGAAAATAATTATTATTATGATTTTAATTTTTTAATAAATATTCATAATAGATTGCATAAAATATGATTACAAAGTAAAAGTAAAAACAAGGATATTTCTCTACAGTTTTGCTTTTTCATAATAAACACATGCATGGAAGCTAACCATAAAAAAAATTATTTTTTTCATCAATCTAATTTTTTAATTATAAACAAAGAGACGAGTGGAGAAGTGCCAAATTTTTTTAAGCATTATTAGAGCATTTGCAACGCTAAAAATCTTAATGTGATATCTTAAAATAAGAAATGTTAATTTTTAAATCATGAAAAAATTCAAACCAATTATAAGATGTCACACATTAAATGAATTTTCTAAAAGCTTAAGAACAGCTTCTTAAATAAGAAATTTAAGATCCAATTATTCTTCCTCTCTCTTACTTTTTATTAGTTTATTAATTTTTTTGTTAAGATATTATATCAAGAAACTTGCATTGTACATGCTCTTTGCTTGATTAAATTATTTAAAAATATATATGATCCGTAAAGTTGAGCTTGGGTCCGCCTCATGGGTTTTTATTTATCAGGAAATATTATTCATTTCTATGTTATTTTTCTATATCTTTTAAGTCGCTAACAAAATTTTGTTTCAGGATTCAAAACCTTCCTTCAGTAGATATTTTTGTGCCCACGGCGGATCCTGTTAAGGAGCCGCCCATTATGGTTGTGAACACTGTGCTTTCGCTGTTAGCTTTGAATTATCCGGCGAATAAATTAGCGTGTTATGTTTCGGACGATGGATGCTCGCCTCTTACATATTTTACTCTGAAAGAAGCTTCTAGGTTTGCCAAGATTTGGGTTCCATTCTGCAAAAAATACAACGTTGGAGTTAGAGCTCCTTTTAGATATTTCTTAAATCCTTTCGATGCAGTAAACGATTCAGAATTCAGTAAAGACTGGGAAATGACAAAGGTAATGATGAGTTTGATTCTTTTCACTTGGCGTTTTAGTTTGTTTCTAAAAAACAAGGTTTTAAAAACCGGCTGAAACGAACCGGAGCCGGCCGGTGACACGGTTTCGAATCTCAAATAAGGTTAAAAAAAACTTAAAGTTAGTTTCTATTCTTTTAGTTTTTTTATATGCCATGTATATGACATTTTTTTCATGTTATATGTTGAATATAAAGAGAGAGTACGAGAAGTTATGCCGGAAAGTAGAAGATGCCTCCGGAAATTCCCATTGTTTGGATGCAGACAACGATTTTAAGGCTTTTTCAAACAGAAAACCAAATGATCATTCAACTATAGTTAAGGTATTATCATATCAACTATAGTTATGGCATATATATCTACAATCTTCTAAAGTAAAATAACTAATATCTACTCTTAACTTCTAGTGCACATATTAAATGGGTTTCCTTATAACAGTTATACGAAATTTTCTTTTATGTGTGTATGTGAAGGTGGTATGGGAGAACAAGGGAGGTGTGGGAGACGAGAGAGAAGTCCCTCATCTTGTATACATTTCAAGAGAGAAAAGACCAAATTACTTCCATCATTACAAATCTGGAGCTATGAACTTTCTGGTTAGTGATTTTTCTCACACAACTTTATATTTTGTAGGTTTCAAAGTAAGTACATATATAAGAGATGCGTTTTTTTTACCAAGCTTACATTTGATACTATGACTTAAATTCGTATAAATATGATGATTAGTATTGATGTGCTCATTATCTTTCTCATTAGTATGAGTTTGAACAGTAAAGAGCCTCATTCTTATGAACTGATATACATGCTTAAAATTTGAACAGATAAGAGTATCAGGATTAATGACAAATGCACCATACATGTTGAACGTAGACTGCGACATGCATGTCAATGATCCAGATGTGGTGCGACAAGCATTGTGTATGTTTTTACAAAAGTCAAAGAATTCAAGCCATTGTGCTTTTGTTCAATACCCTCAAGAGTTCTATGATTCTATCACCGACGAATTCACCGTCTTACAATCCGTGTGATTTTCTCCTTTTTTTTTATTTATAAATTTGATCAATTCAGTGTTAATCCGTCTTAACCTTTGTTTGTTCTTTAATTGTTGACATTAGATTATGGGACGAGGAGTTGCGGGAATCCAAGGACCGATATATGTGGGCACAGGATGCTTTCACACTAGAAGAGTTATGTATGGTTTATCTCCGGGCGATTTAGAAGATGACGGAAGTCTATCTTTGGTTGCTAGAAGTAAGTGTATATTATTCATTTGAAACATTATTCAAAAACATTTTATTTTTATATTAAAACAAACTTTTTATCGTTTCGTAATTATTTTATTTTCAGTTTACTAAACTCTAATATATTCATTATTCTAGAATTCTTATATATGTTCTACACTTTCATTATTCATCTAACACACGTATATATGTATCATTGTCTATTGTTATTTTAATACTATATTTCAGTTATTTCACTATTCATATATCAAATCATTCATGGCTGCTATTGTTATTTCATCAAGGGGAATTTTTGGATGAGGATAGTTTAGAAAGAAAATATGGGAGTTCTAAAGAGATGGTAAAATCGATGGTGGATGCATTACAAAGAAAATCAAATCCTCAAAATACCATTACAAACTCCATAGAAGCGGCTCATGAAGTGGGGCATTGTCACTACGAGTTCCAAACCAATTGGGGCGAAACTGTAAGTCCCTTCTCAATTTAATCGCCATATTCGAAAACCAAACGTTGTTTTCAAGAATATTTTGTTTTCAAAAATTAAACATTTACCTGTAGTAGTAATACATTTTTAATACAAATCTTGCAGGTCGGCTATTTATATGGTTCTGTGTCAGAAGATATCATTACAAGTATTGGAATCCATTCGAGAGGATGGACTAGCTCATACATTTGTCCTGATCAACCTGCGTTTCTTGGATCTACGCCGTCGGTAGGATTGGAGACGATAGTCCAGCAGCGGCGGTGGGGCACGGCAGGGATCGAAGTCCTTTTTACTAGACATAGTCCATTGGCCGGAATGTTTCGTCGGAAAATAAGATTCCGACAGCGAATAGGTTACTTTTGGGTTCTCATGTCCCTAAGGTCAATCCCCGAGCTTTTCTATTGTTTCTTGCCTGCTTATTGCCTACTCCACAGCTCTACCATATTTCCAAAGGTGGCTTTCTTTCTCTAAATATAGTTTAGTTTACTTTCATAGAATTATTTAAAAGCAAAAGTTTAACATTTTTATTGTATATATCTTTTGGTGTGTTGATTGTAGGGACCTTGTCTAGGCATAATAGTCACGCTTGTGGGGATGCATTGCATCTACAGTCTATGGCAATTTAAATACCTTGGTTTTTCAGTAAAATCGTGGTTTGTCGCCCAATCACATTGGAGAATTATTGCCACAAGTGGTTGGTTATTTAGCATCTATGATATCATATTCAAGCTTCTTGGAATCTCAAAAGTCGAGCACAGAATCGCTAAAAAGACTATACCTGAGACCACGTCAGTATCTGGATATGAACCATCTCAAAAAGAAAATGACAGTGAAAGCTCAGACGTTGGTAAATTTGAATTTGATAGCTCGTGTCATTTTGTTCCTGGAACAGTTATTATGTTGGTGAATCTGGCTGGTTTAGTTTGGTATCTAATGGGTCTACAACGGTCGAGTTGTAGTCATGAAGGAGGTGGTTCGGGTGTGGGAGAGACTTGTGGATGTATTTTGGTGCTTATGTTGTTCTATCCCTTTCTAAAGGGTTTGTTTGAGAAGGGAAAATATGGCATTCCCTTGTCTACTCTCTCTAAAGCTGCCTTTTTAGCATTGTTTTTTGTTGGTTTCTCTGTGAGAAATTAGTATATTCCATGTGATGAGTTTGTTATCATAATAAGCTAACTTTATCAAGACATTGTCTTAATTGTTAACGATATTCTCATTGTTCCATTTACCAACTGTTAACAATGACATTGTCTCTCTTGATTTCTCTTTATGATTATGTGTTCCGTTTGTTCATTCTCATTTTCTTGCATGCACATAATTTCTCAAACTAGTTATATATTCTTAAACTAAGATGTTTTATACTTGAACAGTAAATGGCACAATACTAATATATTAGACTATCTTTACAAACTAATATATGAATAAACGGAATAATTGAGTTGATGCATGTAATAGACTAGTTAGTGAATTGAGGTATACGTCAATAATATATATCCTGTACGTATCCCCTATATATTAGCGTGCAAACGTTTTCCCAAACTAAATTTTAAATTTTCAAAAATCTTTTGATAAATTGAACAACAGTTTAATAACACTAATCATTTTATAATGAGTAAGTTGGATACAAACTTAATTTCCTTATTATAACAGTACAATCTTAAAATACATTGCAGTCTTGCAGACAGGTACACAGAGACAGAACACGTTTTATCGACAAAAGAATTGTCACAGGGAAGAAATGTCACAGGACACTTCGTAGCTACAGTCAAACGTGTAAAAAACTCTATTGTCCTTCCAGTCTCGTCCACGTGGCTCCATTCAAATTTTAAGCCACAACATTCTCAGTCACGTCTTGAATAAACTTTCGCAAAGCCGCCTGCGAAGATCCGCCGTCCATTAACGCCACGTGGCATTTCTCAGCCATCTCCTCCACTCTAATCCTAACGTCACTGTCCTGCTCCCATCACACGCCTTACCGCTCTCTCTATATCCTCCGCCGTAACCGTCTCCATCTCTCCGGCCAACAAATCTCCTCTAAAGAACCTCCGTATCTCCACAGCCAATCCCAACTCCTCCACCATCTCGAACGCGTTTACCTTCTGCTCCGCGTATAACGGCCACGTCACCATCGGAACACCGAACCACAAACTCTCAAGCATCGAGTTCCATCCGCAGTGAGTGACGAAACCTCCGATCGCCGGTTTCGCTAGCACCGCCGTTTGTGGAGCCCATCCGATTATCTTTCCTCTATCCGATGTCCGATCTAAAAACCCCTCCGGTAACACTTCCTCCAGATTTGTGTAATCTCCGGGACCCTCCGTCAGTATATTCGGCGATGCACGACGGAGCGACCAGAGAAACCGGTGACCGCTTCGATCTAGCGCGACGGCGATCGCTCTCGTTTGCTCCTCGTTGAAACCTCCCATGCTCCCGAAACAGAGGAACACAACCGATTTCGCCGGTTGCTCATCTAACCACCGCAAAATCTCCGACTGCTTATCGTCGTCGGAATCGTTAGATCCGTTTTCGAGATGTAACACTGGTCCTACAGGATAAGCTTGAGGAAGATCACCGGAGAAGATTTTCAAAGCGTGAGGCTCCAGCTCAGCAACTGTATTTACTAAAATACCCTTCATTTTACGGAAGTTTCTCGCTTGGGCTAGGAAGAAAGGTAGCCACAGCTTGGAGACGAAGAGATGTGGAAGACATTTCACAGGTTTGTTTTATACAGTTGTTTGTTGGGTCACGTAGGATTAAACCCATATAGATCCTATCGGGCCACAAAAAGCCTTATAATAAATTGCAGCCGCCAAGGAAAACCCTAAATATAGGTCTCAGATTCCGTCTGTGTGACTCTGTATTTATATGCGTTTTCGTCATTGTATACAAATCGTAGTATCTGATCTTTCTCTCTTTTCTTGTATTTGTGATAGTGTTGGTGATTTTAGGGTTCTTGTGAAAGAGATTTTGAAGTTTTTGCTTTTGGTGTGTAAGGGTTTATGGTGATGATACAATTGTGTTATGGACTAGAGTTTCTGATCTGGGCTCTTCTCCCAATTTGACGAGTAACCCTTGGCTGTCTGAGTATTCCCCTTTCACACCAATTACAATCTTTCGATTGATTTGAAAAAAAAAGAAGCTTTTGATTATAACGTTTTTTGTTTTGTTTAGATTGATGTTATAGTTCTTGTTTTGCTTTTAGATGCTTATATAAAAAGCTTATGATGATAAAAAACAATTATCTTAGCGGATTTCAGTGAGGTTAATAATCAATGATCTGAATTTGTTACACACACTGAAGCTTTTCTTTTTTGGTTACCAAGTTTGTGTTTTGTGTAATGATTTGTATTCAATGCGATGATGAGACAAAAGCACGAAGAGTGTAAGAAGAGCAGTGGACAATTGCAAATACTTATAAAGTGTTTGCTTTTGCCGTGAGCTTTCCTAATTAAACGACTTCTCCTTCCACTGAGCATTTTGTATTTTTTTGGTTTTGTTTTCGTTGGCGTCCATTACCAATTCTGTTGGATGAAATCTGTTCTTTCAGGTATAATGGCTTGTGACGCAATACTAAGTAGTTGTGGTATATCCTGATCATCTTGCTTTATCTAAATGCCTTTTGATCCTGGAAATGCCTCGCACATTTTTAAAATTTTGTTTATTTGTGTGTGTTCTTGCACATCTCTCTCCCAAATGTCTTGATATTGCTGGTTAGTATTGAGTTTTGTATTGGTGTATAAGGATTAATGGTGATGATACAATTGTTATGGACTAGAGTTTCAGATCTGGGCACTTCACCCAGAAGTTGAAGAGTAACCCTTGGCTGTCTGAGTAATCCCTTTCACACCCTTTTTTTTTTTATCTTCCGGTTGATTTGAGAAAAAATATTCGATTTTTCTTTGGATTGATGTTATTCTTCTTGGTTTGATTGGATGCTTATATGAAAGCTTATGATGATAGAAACAATTATCTTAGCGGATTTCAGTGAGGTCAACGATCAATGATCTGATTTTGTTACACACACTGAAGCTTTTTACCAAGTTTTGTGCTTTGTTTAATTATGACATGCGATGATGAGATGAAAGCACGAAGAGTGTAAGAAGAGTAGTGGACAATTGCAAATTCTGATTTCAGTGTTTGCTTTTGCCGTGAGCTTTCCTAATCAAACGACTTCTCCTTCCACTGAGCCTGTCCTTTTGAGTTTTTTTTTGTCGCCCATTTCCAATTCTGTTGGATAATCTCCATTCTGTATAATGGCTTGTGACGCAGTATTGATTTAGTTGTGGTTTATCCTGATTCTTGCTTTCTTGAAATGCCTTTTCATCCTGGAAATTACTTCTTCTTTTTTCTCTCTGCTTATTGTGTAATGCACTGTTGCCCCGTTTAAAGGAAGATGATGCAAAAAAGCTTCTTTTGAGGATCAAAGGGTTTTAAGATTAAAACTCTTAATGGTCAAACGGCATGAAAGTGGATCAGAGGAAAAGACTTAACGGATCGAATGGGTTTAATATTAATATCTGGCCGGACACTTGTTTCTTTTTAGCCGTTTTTTGGATTTTGGAGACTGGTGGAAGCTAATGCAAGAGTTGTCATTTCTTGGAGTTATAAGTAGGGGTGGGCAAATGGGAATATGGACGGGATTTTGTGGGAATAGGAATGGGACAGGAATATGGGAATCAAAATAATTGTCACATGTGTTTTATTCATAATTTGGGAAAATTTAGGATGGGAAAATTTAGGATGGGACGAGAATGGGCAAAATAATTGTCACATATATGTTTTATTCAAAATTTGGGAAAATTTGGGATGGGACGGGACGAGAATGGAACAGAAATTTCCAAAAAATTTAGAAACAGACAAATTGATAATTGTAAAAAAAAAATTACATTTAATTTATATTTGTCTATTGTTTATTTCATAAATTCTAGTAAGTAATAATAACATATTATATAAGATTATAAATTAACGAAGAAACAAATGAAATTAATCTTAATTTAATTATTAAAATTTAAAAGTTTCAATTTTTTTTTAAAAAACTAACATAATCTATTAAATAGTAAACAAAAAACTATATAGTTTATTAGTCATATAAAATAAAATAAAAATTAAAAACAAACATAATCTGTTCAAATCTCAGCAATCAGACTATAATTTATAAGTTAAAACTTTAGGGATACAATTTTTTAGTTTTAACTTTCGTTTATATAAAATAATATATTAATGAATAATAATTATCATTTTGGTAATATATTTTAAATATTTAATTTATTATTTATATATAATTCGGAATAAATGGAACTTCGAGAATTCCCGTTTCTGTTCCATTCCCAAATGAGAATCGATATGCTGTACCATATGGGAAGCACATTCCCATATGGTATGGGAATTTGGGATTGAAACTGGAATAGGATGGGATGCGATGGGACAGGATGGAACGGGAATTGTGTCCACCCTAGTTATATGAATTTGGTTGGAGATGTCATTTCTTGAAAGCTCTTTTGAGATGGAAAAGCATTAATCGAATTCATTTCGTTCATTGATGTCTTTTTTTGTAGTTATATAATGAACTAAATCCTATATTTTTCAATCTTTATCAATATCCCTTAATTTCATATTAGAAATTAGATGTAGATTCTTTTTAATTAAAAAAATTGTTTTTACTTTGTTGTCGTTTCATAGATAGTGTGTACCTAAGCATTTGTATGACTGTCAGAAATCAAAAATGTGTACCTACTTCCGTTTTTTTTTCTTCGACCAAAATTCCGTTTTACTTCTTCTATACCAGTTTAAGAAAAATATCACTCCACGGTGTTAACAATTTCTTGATATAGAAGTAACAAAATTTGATCTACAAGAACAAATTCGTAAAACATTGAAAGCTGCAAATGGACATCCTAATTTTTTTTTTTTTTTTGAATCCTAACTTTATTCTTTTTGTTTTAAGAAATTAGTTCCCTGATAAACTTGTTCATCAAACCTTAATATATCAAATGGAAAAGCAGTAGATTGTTCTATAAACACAAATTATACCACTAAAAAGATTGTATATATATTTTTCAAACAAACCACTAACGGACACGTTTTAAACGTTGAGTCTTTGATGGACCCACAAATACTAATAAGTAGTATCATAGTACAGCTTTGTGAAATGATTGATTCCCTTTTCTTTGCTGGTTATTTTTTAAAGTGTGTAGAACGAGTAAAAGCAAAATCCCAATAATTTAAATCCTTACGGACAGTATTTTGGATAGGACCTGTCTCCTGCTTTTTGTTATGTGGTTTCTATTTTAGATTGGCCAAGATTACTTTACCTCCACAGCTTCACATCACTCTAGAAAACAAAAATGGCAGAACTAGTTGTCATCATCTCTTCGACCATTGTTCGACCCGGAAAAATCAACCAATCGGGTCGAACTAAGATCCATCTTACTCCATTTGATCTCAGTCTTCTTCAAATCGGGTTTCCTCAAAGAGGTCTTCTCTTTCCTAAACCCAATCAAGATTTCCATCTCATCCCTCGACTTAAGGAGTCTCTCTCTCTCGCCTTAGAGATCTTCTTCCCTTTCGCGGGTCGTCTCGTGAAATCAGATAATCTTGAAGACGACACGGTGTCCTTTCACATAGACTGCGACGGCTCCGGCGCTAGATTTCTCCACGCCGAAGCTAAATCCGTCTCGGTGACCCACTTTCTTGAGCCTAACGGAAGTGTTCCAGATTTCATAAACAACTTCTTTCCCGCTAACGGTATCAAGAACTGCGATGGCGTCACGGAGCCCTTACTTGCTCTACAAGTCACCGAGATGAAAGACGGTGTCTTCATCGGTTACTCTTACAACCACATGGTCGGAGACGGTGTTTCGATGTGGAGTTTCCTCAACACTTGGTCCAAGATTTGCTCGAGCGGTTCCGTTTCAGAGCATCATCAGCCTCTTGTTCTCAAAGGATGGTTCCTCGACGGGATCGATTATCCGATCCATATCCCGGTTTCAGAGGCGGAGAGACCACCACCAAGCCGTGAAGTTTCTTCCGTGCCCACCATTAAAGATCATGTTTTTCACTTCACAAAGGAGAACATTTCAAATCTCAAAGCTAAAGCCAACAGCGAGGTTGGCTCCATCGACCTGAAAATCTCATCTCTTCAAGCGGTTACAGCGCATATGTGGAGATCTATCGTCAGACACAGTGGTATGAGCCGAGAAGGAGAGACGCATTGCGGAGTGGTGGTGGATCTGAGACAGAGGGTAAACCCTCCGCTTGAGAAGGAGTGTTTTGGGAATATGGTTTATGGTACATCAGCCATAGCCACTGTGGAAGAGCTACTTGATCGTGGCTTAGGTTGGGCTGCTTTGCAAATAAGTAAACTAGTGAGCTCGCAGACGAATGAAAAGTGTAGAAATTTTGCAGAGGATTGGGTTAAAAATGTAGAGTTTTTAGGATCAGGCATCGTTGGGAGTAGAATGGCTGGTTCGACCCGATTGATTATGACAAGCTCACTCCGGTTCGAAGTGTACAGCAACGATTTCGGTTGGGGAAAACCGATTGCGGTTCGAGCTGGACCGGGGAATAGTTTCAATGGTAAACTTGTGCTTTTCCCGGGAATCGATGAAGGAAGCATTGATGCTCAGGCGACACTATGGTGTGATGTACTGGTGAATCTACTTGCCGATGTGGAATTTTCGGAGAATGTGACTACTATGGTCTAATGTACTAGTCCGGTGTATGAGAAATAAAAGAGTTGAAATGCTTATACGGATGATTTACAAGAATCTTGAATAATTGCAATAATCCTATTATGCACAATCTGAATCATATAAAGAGTTTTATAGTACCCCACATTAAAAAGACGTCAACAACTTTTGTACTTATTAAACATAGGAACTTTCTTTTCATCATTTAATGCGACTTTTTATAATCAGTTAATCACATTTAAGATATCATATGATTTTGATTACGAAATATATAACAAAATAAGTAAAAGAGTCAGAAATTAAGAAAAATATATCCTAAAAATTATACATTTCCTCTTATTTTGCATTAAAAAGTTTATACAGCAAACATCTAAATTATACAAATTTAAAGGTTTTCGTTTCATTTGTTTTTGAGATTTATTTCAAATGTTAAATTCGACTTTTTTCTCCGCAATGCCGTATTACGTTCTGGAGATTTTTTCCTTCGTAGGTTGTGTGGAACATGTTTTAGCCAAACCTTTTGCAAAGTCTACTATTGGGCCAACGGAACCGCATTATATCCAAAGCCTCAAAGGAAGCCCATAACCATCGGTTTCGTTTTTGCAGGTCGGACCGAACCGGACCCGTAAACCCGAATGATCAAGGCTAGATTCACTCACTGAAAGGGACGGCTTCGTTCTTCCACCTTCCGAGAAAAGAAACCGTCGACGATTCTGCAGAGAGAGAGAGAGAGAGAGAGAGAGAGAACTCGAAAAGGAAAAGTTAGAAATGAACCAGACAAGGCGAAAGAGACGACCTGAATCTTCTCTCTCTAGGCTCGAATCGCTCTCGCCGGAAATGATTTTTCCGACCAAGTCACCGGCGCTGATTTCTGCGCGCGTCAGAAACATCTTCCTGTTGCTCACCTTTTGTTTCATCATCTACATCCTCTTCTCCTACGGAACTTTCCGCCGAGAGCGAATCTCATCGATCGCTCGCTCCTTGTCTGTGTTCTCCACTCGACGCCGTCACTTACTCTTCTCGATCGCCGCCTCTCACGACTCTTGGCTCCGCCGTAGCTCATATGTTCGTCTCTGGTACTCTCCCGAGTCCACGCGCGCAATCGTATTCCTCGACCGCGGTGGATTAGATCCCGATCTCAGTCTCCCTCCGGTAATCGTCTCTAAAGACGTCTCTAGGTTCCCTTATAATTTCCCCGGCGGTCTCCGATCGGCGATCCGCGTGGCTCGCGTCGTTAAGGAGACGGTGGATCGGGGAGATAAAGACGTGCGGTGGTTCGTTTTCGGAGATGATGATACGGTGTTCTTCGTAGACAATCTGGTGGCGGTTCTGTCCAAGTACGATCACCGTAAGTGGTATTACGTCGGAAGCAATTCGGAGTTCTACGATCAGAACGTGAGGTATTCGTTTGACATGGCGTTTGGCGGAGGAGGATTCGCCATCAGTGCTTCGCTTGGGAAGGTTCTTGCAAAGGTTCTGGATTCTTGTTTGATGAGGTATTCGCACATGTATGGAAGTGACTCCAGGATCTTCTCTTGCTTGGCTGAGCTTGGTGTTACATTAACTCATGAACCTGGGTTTCATCAGGTAAAGAATGGAGAGATCTTCTCAAACATTTGAATTTTTTTTTCTAAATTAGTTGCAATAATCTGGTTAGATTTAAGATACTAAAAAAATAAGCCATGAATTTGATTCATTTGGACTTGACAAAGCTGAGATAGTTCACAGTGATGCTGATTTCTGAACAAGTACTGCATGTGGAAAGTTCAACTCAGTGACCAAAGCATTAATTTACTTGCCTTATTTGGTTGATGATAAGTTTAGTTAATATGTTCCATTTTAGTACTTCAGATTTGAGATAGTTAAAAGCCTTGAATTTGATGATACAAGGAACAATGACATTGATGCATTTGGAAAGTTTAGCTCAATGACCAAACCATTATTTACTTGCCTCATTTGGGTTATTTTGGATAAGTGTAGTTGAGATTTTCCTTTTCAAGCTGCAGTAATTTCCGGATAACTCTTATTGATTATGTTGCTACTTGCTAGAGAGTTAATCTGAAAATTACTATATATGTGCTCTTTTTTTTCATAGATCGATGTAAGAGGGAACATATTTGGACTGCTTTGCGCACACCCGTTATCTCCATTGGTATCACTTCATCACTTAGACGCAGTCGATCCATTCTTTCCAAAAACGAACCGGACAGACTCCATGGCTCGTCTCATCGGTGCAGCGAGTTTAGATTCCGCGAGGATTTTGCAGCAGAGTGTTTGCTATGACTCTTCAAACACAGTGACTGTTTCGGTTGTGTGGGGCTACGCGATTCAAGTTTACGAAGGCAACAAACTCCTCCCGGATCTTCTCACCTTGCAAAAGACATTCTCTACATGGAGGAGAGGGTCAGGGGTCCAAAGCAACTACATGTTCAGTACAAGAGAGTATCCCAGAGATCCATGTGCGAGACCGCTCGTCTTTTTCTTGGATAGTGTGGGATCAGATGGAGGTGAAGGAACATGGAGTAGCTATAACCTTCATAGTGTCGGAAACTGCCGCAGAACAGAAGCTGTTAAGCGTCTACAACACATTCGAGTTTTGTCTCGTAAGCTTCCACTTAATGTCGAACAGGTATAGTTTAGAAATACTCATTGCTTCTCAGTGAAGTACCTTTAATTTGTCCCTGGATTCACATTTTTTTTTTTTTGGTTTCTTCTCTGAAATAAAATGGCAGATGAATCCGCCACGTCGCCAATGCTGTGACATCTCGTCTCCTTATAACAAATCAATGGTGATTAATATAAGGCAATGCATGACGGAGGAGCTAATCGCCATGAACACGTCGTAGCATTTTCTTCATGGCTCATTGTATTTCAAGAATCAGCTAAACAAAGACCGAGTCAGTCCTACGATGGCTCTAACCAATGGCGGAATCTGAGGTAATTTTGTTAATAGAACTCTACTCGCATCTCAATAGAACATAAAGCTTGTGTCTTGTAGCTTGTAGGTGGGTTAGATTCATCTTCCTGACCAAACTCCGAAAGTGTCTCATAGAAGAGACCAGAGTTCGAAGAACCATATAGAAACTTCGCACGATTTTGCATTTTCCACCAAGTTTACCTCTTTTTTTTGTAACACGCGGAAGGAGAAGAATAAAACTCAGATCTTTCCTATGTATATATAGTTGTGCTAGGCATTGATGTCACGTTGCTCTTTGAATGTTATATACAGTTAGCTTTTGGTTTTTGCATAACTGTAACAGTTTGGTTCACCAATTGTATATCGAATTCTAAATACCAAAACATTGGTCTTCATATTGAACCTGTGAATCGAGTTTGCTAACAAAGGAAGGCAAAATCACTTCCTTTGGAAATTGAGTTTGCCAATAAAGAATGCGAAAAGAGATGCCAAGAGAATGGGGAAAGCAACGAGAACAACAGCTACAAGAGCTAAAGAGTCGTATCTGTAACCAAAATAATCTTCCAAGAAAGCTGAAACTTTCTTCTTCTCACCAAAAGCTGTTATCTCTTTCTCCATATCTCCATACTGCGATGTGAGCAATCCATTCAAAACCCATGACGTGGGACTCAAGTAATACATCCAAATCCACCATTTCGGAATGTTCTGCATTATCAACAAATCCCCTCATTGTCTTGACTCTTGATGATTTCTTCAAATGTATTTAGAAACTAAAGTAAGAGGACTTACAGGTTTTGGCATGACATAACCGGCAAAGAGATTGACGATTGAGTAAAAAGATGAACGGAGAGTAAACGCAACGTGAATGTTTGGTGTCACGACGACTAAAAGCATGCCGAAATAGTTGAAGATGAGCAACGAGCAGAAGACTGAGTAGAAGCTCCAAAACACTTTGTAGAACGACCAGTGAAAGCCAACCATAGGATATACGATTATCACACATATGATAGATTGGAATAATGAATACGGAATTTCAACCAACACCTGCAAACAGTAAGCCTTTAGATTCAATTTCAAAGCCAAGTTAATTTTGCTTCCTTTATGGTTGATTGAGAAAATGTTCTAACCTGAGCAAGGGAATACGCCCACGAGGTGTACATTCGAGCAAATCTTTCGCGGTAGAAGACATTTCGTTCGGTCGCAACGCAGAATAACACTGTTGAGCAATTGTTTATACCAGAGAAGAGAACCACAGTGAACATTGAGCCAAATATGTTGAATAGATCTTGCTGATTGTTTCTGCAAAGAAGAGAGGTAAACAAAGATTGAGTAAAGGTAATACACATGAAGATGATACGAAATCGTTGAGAGAAAAAAAAACAACTCAAGAAATACTGGGAAGAGACACTAACATTTCCTTAGCTTTTTGCCAGAAGAGAATGCCGCAGAGCATAGAAGTGAGGCACATGAAGATGATGCGAGTGAGATTGTATGAAGGGTTCCTCCAATAAGAAAGATGTTGTTTCCAGAGGCATGCTTTGAATTGTTCCCACCCGGTTTGAGCATATCGCGAAGAGGAGATTAATCTTTCTGATCCCAAAGATGTAAACCTCATTTCCTCAATAAGTATGTTGTTCTCCCTGAAACAAGCAAGCGTGGGATTTTATGATGACAGTTTCATGCAGATAAAATGCAAAGTACTAAGTTTATAGACTTACTTAAACAAATCTGATTCGTTGTACATTTGTGCCAAATCAACACCAAGTTTGTCTTCAGATGATTTCGAAGTAATGTCTAGTAGCCAAGTGGCTGGATTAGTGTTCTCTTTCATTTTTGGAACTTCAGGAATGCTCTGCAGTTGTATATTTTTGGTTGTACAATAAACCATACTTTAATATGCAACAGTTATATTATATAAAAACTTACCAGAAAGTATTCAATAACTTTGCTTGAACGCTGTCCAAGAGGTCCATTATAGATAATCTTTCCTCCATTTTTCATCAGAATCAGCTGCAATTTAAGGGGTCACACAGTGTACTTTAGACAGGAGATTTGATGAGATGAATGTTATTTACCTCATCAAATGCTTCGAAGATATCTATGCCCGGCTGGTGAATCGTGCAGACAACGGTTCTGCCAGTTTCGGTAATGTTTTTCACGGCTCTCATTACAATTGCAGCAGCTCTTGCATCTAAACCTGTGGTTGGTTCATCCATAAATATGATTGAAGGATTGGCAACAAGCTCCACAGCTATTGTTAGTCTCTTTCGTTGTTCTGTTGTTAAACCGCTAATTCCAGGAAGTCCCACTATAGAATCTTTAATCTCCTCGAGCTCTATCGTCTCAAGAACATCCTTGACTATTGCCTGAAAACCAAAAACCAAGAAAATACTCAGACAAGGGGAGCTAGAAGTAAGGAAGCACTTACTTTTCTATATAACTACTTACGCGCTTTGTTTCTGGATTAACATCAGAAGGTAGTCGAAGCCAAGCAGAGTATTCTAAGGACTCTTCAACAGTTACATTCGGAGAATGAATGTCAAACTGTTCGCAATAACCTGAGACACGTGCGAATTTTTCTTGAGCCTTAAGGTAACCGCCTACGTGGATCTGTCCTTTAATGTCACCGCGGGTTTTCCTTCCAGAGAGAACATCAAGCAGAGTCGTTTTACCAGCGCCACTCACACCCATTAGAGCAGTGAGGACACCGGGCTTGAATGCTCCTGTAACTCCAGAGAGAAGCTGCAGCTTCTTCTCCTTTAACAGAAATGAGAGCCACTCGTTATAACTATCTGTGCCTCTTGGAATGATTCAAGAAAACTATGCTATATACCTCATGGGTCTCGATGAAATATCGCACGTCTTGGAATGTGAAAGTTAGTGGCTCGAAAGGCAATGCATTTTTTAATTGGGAACCAGTTTTAGAACCACCTCTTTCTGAACATTGAGTGTTCTTCTCACGAGAAACAATCCCACGAGACCTCTGTGAAGCTGAAATTGCAGAAATCAATCCTCATTGTCTAAACAACTTCATTATGTCACATGTCGCAATATATAATTGCTTGTGAACTTACTCTTCAGAAATGTCAACGCCAATATATAAACAGTGTTGAAGAAGAGAGTGAAGCCAATTAAAGCGCCAAATGCAGTCCAGTAAGATTGGTTACCAAAATTCAACCCACGAACATCTAAAACTTGTTCCCCTAATGTTCTGTTTTCAGATGTTGTCTAATGGCAATAAGAAAAAAAATGATGAGGATTAATAATGAACTAAACGCTTAGCTAGAAAAATGTGAAAGTCATACGAAGAATTGATTACCTTTCTCCACCGTGGAGAGAAAAACTCATTTGCGGTTAGACCAATCTCAGCATATGACAGTGGAGAAAACCAGAATCCCCATTCAAGCCACGCAGGCATGGAGGCTGAAAAAATAACAAAGAATCATAGCAATGGAACGTAAATCTCGCTTTGTAACTCAAGTTTTAAGTAACAGAACTTACGTTTTCGAACAATGAAACCTCCGAATACTGAGAGAAGCATTACAGAGATTGTTCCCATGGTTGTGGCAACAACAAAATCTCGAAAAGTAGCAGCTATAGCACGGAACATTGATATACACGAAAGGTGTAAAGCAAAGAAGATCAAGAACTGGCGAATGAACCTGAAGGAAGATACTTTGGTTAATAGAGAAACACGTTCTTATATTTGGTTGTTTGCATTCCAAATTAGTAGTACCTGCCAATCATAGGACTGTAACCAATGACATAATATGTCAGCAACGTCCAGAGGAATGATTCAAGAAATGAAATTGGTATCTTTAAGATAGCTGAAGGCAATGCATATGCCCAAGCAGGATAAAAGTATAACTCCTTTTGCTTGCAGAAAACCTCGATTCTCGAGATTGTCAATGTGAGTTCTGGAAGTCCATCAACAAGAAGTTTATAGAGAGAAAAAAACAAAGAACCCATAAGATAATTAGCATGAAGAGCATCTCTTGTAGACCCAGTCCTTAGGTAAACAGTCATTGCAATAAATCCAATGCAAATTAACTGCGGAAAAAATGGTGAAAGGGCTTAGCATGTAATAGTAGAAAAAGTATCTTTTGCGCAAAGAAAATAGGAACTTACGAGTCCAGATTTGAATATGTAAACGAAAGAGTTTCGTTTCATCAGAAGAAACTCTCTCCTTGAGCAAGCTTTTAGCATCTCCCAGTTACTGAGTGAGTATTTTCTAAAGCACAGTGCATCCTTTTGACTCTGACACTTTTCATAGCTCTCAGAGACTTCTTCTTGTAGTTGTAACCCAAGATCAGACTTTTTAAATCTCTCTATGAATGAGTCAACGGAGACATAACAGTATGGTTTGTCATTGTGACACCAATACTGTTCTTGATCTTTCCTTGAGATAACCTGCAGGACAAGAAAGTAAGATGATCATCAAGGTTACAAATCTAGCAGATATAAATATGATCAAGATTCATACCTCCTGCAAGAATTCAGCAACAGATTTCCTATTTGGACATTTAAATCCACAATCCTCAAAGAATCTACATATGAAATCCCGTGGACCTTGATAGATTATCTCTCCTTCTCCCATAAGAATCACGTCATCGAAAAGCTCAAACGTTTCTGGTGCAGGCTGAAGCAGTGAAACCAGTATGGTTCCTTCAGATAGAAGTACAAACTGTTGGAAAAATGATAGAATCTGGAATGTCGTTGAGCTGTCCAAACCATTCGATATTTCATCCATGAATAGATTTTTAATTGGACCAACAATCATCTCACCTGCAGTAGATTACAACTATGAATTTTTTTTGTCTTTGAAGAACCCTAAAGCACGGTGTAAAAGTTAAAAATCACCTGTAGTTAACCTTCTCTTTTGGCCGCCGGATATTCCTGGTCTTGAAGCATCTCCAACACGTGTATCTGCACAGATATCGAGTCCTAGGATCTGAAAAACAGATGCATTCATTAACTTCTGATAGGAGCAGAAATAAATAACAACTCTGAAAGCATCATATTACCTTTAGGATATAGTCGGTTTGCAGATTAGTTTTTGAACCTTTAACTGAAGCTGCCTGTCATAACCAAAAAAGTTCAGTTTCAATATTCATTTTATATCAAATGAAGTTGAATTCCAAGTAATTTACCTTCATGTATGCATCTATATCAGGATCTGGAACTATTCCTTCAAGTTTCTCCCTTCTAGTTATCTCTTTCATCATTTCTGTTGGTTTTTTAAGACCAATAAAGTTCATTGCAACAAGTTCTTAGTAATAAGAAACATGAGAACTATTATTGTGCTTACCTAAACGGTTTCCTGTGCCTTGGAAACATCCCGAAAAGTCGAGTGTCTCTCTCACACTAAGCTCTGGAATGTGCAGATCGTTTTGACTCACATAACTCGATGTTTTCTCAGGAACAAACTCAGAGAATAGATGACCGTTGTAACGTACTTCTCCTCTAGTCTGTAAAGTGGAAGCAACTCAATATGATTTATGAACAAAATATAAGCGTTTCAATGATTGAAAAAACAAAAAAAACCAAACCGTTAAATAAGGGTCGAGTCTTCCAGATAATGCGAGTAGCAGAGTAGTTTTACCACAACCAGGAGGACCAAGCAACAAAGTCATTCTGCAATATTCTTAATAAATTGATGATTCTTGAAAACAGAGCACAAAATGATAAGGAAACTTGCGCCTTAAGATTCAAGAATCTACCTTTTAGGCCTTATGATGCCGCTGACGCCTTTCAAGATGCTTATCTTCTTTTCTTGCTTTGAACACATGAATCTCTGTCAAAACCACCATTGTGAGGATTCAACTTTATAAGCAACTGTAAATAGAAAGAAAGTCATAGCAGCAGAATGAAACTTACAGATAATCTGCTTGCGATAGCATTCCAAAGAGTTGGGATCGGCTTCCCATAGACTACCTCACACTCTGCTTCAACAAAAAGATCACTGAACCTCACTTCAATCTTTGGTAACTCGATCCCAACCCTACCAAAAAATACATGAGATTGAATCGATTGATAGCATATAATGTTGTATGTTCAATAATTACAGAGCATCAAGAAAATCTTGAAGCGTGACTTACTCGTCGATTCTCTTCTTTATGGTCTGCAACAAGCGGAGATTATCAATCTCAACATGTCTAATGAGCTCATCGATAAAAACATGTCTATCATGAGCCTGATCAAGCTTAGAGACATCCATGAGTTGTCCTCTCGCTCTTCTCTCCCCTTGTTCATCTGTTTTGCAGAACAAAGCAGTAGTGATCCTTTCAAATGTTGGTAGTCTCTCAACAGCAGCCCATTGATCATCATCATCCCCATTTTCAGAAGCAGATACACCTGTTTGAGACATTGTCATTAACTGGAGACCAAACAAACCCAAGAAGGATAATACTTTATACAAAGTGAGTTTGAGAAACTAGGCTTACAAACTAATGATCATTGATCACAACCATGATGATTCACGACGTGGTTTGATACAAGTCAAAAGTCTTTCTTAATGAATTAAAATGACCAAAACCAAAAGCATTTCGTCGAACACATTACGTATGCATTTCGTCAAACACATTACGTGGGCATTTCGTCGAACACATTGACGAAACCGTATCTGAAGAAACAACAAAATCCATTTTCCTTATTATATTGAAAAGATTCCAATTTTTTTTTTTTTTTTTTTTTTTGACGTTTGGAAACAAATTCTGCAAAGAGCCTCTTACAGTGAAGCAACTTAATTTAGCGTACATCATCAAATTACAGTGAAGTTTCAATAATAATATCGTTTGCCTAGAAAGCAAGTAAAAATCCACCGCCAAATTCCATAAAAGTGGGAGTGGAAGCGACATGTTTGGTATACGCAGTCGGATCTGAAGGTAGAGAGTTTTTCGCATACACAAACCTAACTTGTAATTCGATACGGGAAATTCTTAGGTCTGCGCAAATTGGGTCGGGTGAACCGGAATTACCCGGTTTGGGTCAAGATAGATTTTAACAAAATGGGTTTCTCTTAACAATTTCAGTTTACGGATAAAACCAAATTTTGATTTTGTAAAATATAGAAAGTAGAAATCAGCTCGAAATTCCCTGAACTGAAAGTCTTCTCTGCGTAAATCAACGCCAAGTTTCTCCTTCCTTTCTCAGTTCTCATTATATCTCTGCTACATCTACAACACTGCCCAGAGTTTCTCTCCATAAGAAATTCAAAATCTCTTCTCTATCCTTTCCCATGGCTTCTTCATCTACTTCTCGCACCTGGAGGTACGATGTTTTTCCGAGCTTCAGCGGTGAAGATGTGCGCAAATCATTCCTCAGTCATCTTCTCGAGAAGCTCAATCGCAAACTGATCATCACATTCATTGACCATGGCATCGAGCGAAGCCGACCGATCGCACCTGAGCTTATATTCGCGATTAGAGAATCGAGGATCTCCATCGTCATTTTCTCTACGAAATACGCTTCTTCGACCTGGTGTTTGAACGAATTGGTGGAGATCCACAGGTGCTTTAAGGAATTGGATCAAATGGTGATTCCGATTTTCCACGACGTCGATCCCTCTGATGTTAGAAAACAGACCGGAGATTTCGGCGAGGGGTTTGAAAAAACCTGCAATGGTAAAACAGAAGAGGAGAGGCAAAGGTGGATTCGAGCTTTATCAGAGGTAGCAAATTTGGCCGGAGAGGATTCTCGAAATTGGTATGATTGTTTGTAGTTTGTAGTTTGCTTTGCATAGATTTCGATTGTGTGCTTTTACGAGTGCTTATATTGAGATTTTGCCATTATTTTTTTTCTAGGAGTGATGAAGCAAGCATGATTGAAAATATCGCCAAGGATGTGTCGAATAAGCTTATGATACCATCAAATGATTTTGGTGACTTTGTTGGGATTGAAGCTCACTTAGAGAGGTTGAATTCGATTTTGTGTTTGGAATCTGAGGAAGTGAGAATGTTGGGAATTGTTGGGGCTTCAGGGATTGGTAAGAGTACATTAGGAAGAGCTCTGTTCAGCCAATTATCTAGCCGTTTCGACCATCGTGCTTTCGTCTCTTACAAGAGAACAGAGAGGGACGACTATGGAATGAAGTTGTTTTGGGAAGAACAGCTTCTATCAGAAATTCTATGTCAAAAGGAGATAAAGTTATCTCATTTAGGTGTGGTGGAGCAAAAGCTAAAGCACAAGAAAGTTCTTATCATCGTTGATGATGTTGATGATCTGGAACTAGTGAAGACATTGGTGGGACAAACTAGATGGGTTGGGTCTGGGAGCAGAATCGTTGTGATTACTCAAGATATGAAACTTCTAAAGTCTCACAAGATTGATCTTATTTATAAGGTCGAGTTACCATCCAAAGATCTGGCTCTGCAGATGTTCTGTCGATCTGCTTTTGGCCAAAACTCTCCACCTTACGGTTTCAAGGAACTCGCAGTTGAAGTTGTGGAGCTTGCCGGTAATCTTCCTTTGGGTCTCAGTGTCTTGGGCTCGTCTCTGAGAGGGATGGACAAGGAGGAGTGGGTGGAGATGCTGCCTAGGCTCCGAGATAGTTTGGATGGAAAGATTGAGAAAACATTAAAAGTCAGCTACGATGGGTTAGATGGCAAATATCAAGATTTATTCTTGTCCATTGCATGCTTATTCATTGGTCACAAAGTCAGTCACCTAGAAAACTTGCTCGGAGATAGTGCTAAAATGGGGCTTAAAATGTTGGCTGACAAGTCCCTCATACATATAACACTACCAGACAAGTTTCTTTCTTTTTTACCTGCGCGACCAGACAAGACTGTTCAAATGCATTGTTTGTTACAAAAGCTGGGTAAAGAAATTGTTCGTGCAGAGTCCATCAACAATCCTGGAAAACGTAGGTACTTGGTGGATGCTGAGGATATTTCTGATGTACTTACTGATAAGACTGTGAGTTTTCACATATGCTTTTCATACCTAACCGACTTTAAATGAATTTAAAAAAAAAATCATTTTGGAGTTTAAGATATTGAGTTTCTTTTGTTGGGATTCTTTCTTTTCAGGGCACAGAAAATATTCTAGGCATATATTTGAACACATCAGAGATCAAGGAGCCACTGTTTATAGATGAAAAAACATTTGAAGGAATGCGTAATCTCAAATTTCTAAAATTTTACAGAGATTGGTCAAGGGAGATCGGTGAAGACAGATTGCATTTACCTCGAGGCCTTGTGCATTTTCCTCGTAAACTCAGATTGCTACATTGGGATGAATATCCATCCAAGTGGATGCCTTGTAACTTTAGGACGGAGTATCTGGTTAAAATCAAAATGATGGGTAGCAAGCTTGAGAAGCTGTGGGAAGGAACTCAGGTACATCTAGAACAATAGTTAGTATTCCACTTAAAACAAAAACCTGAAATTTTGCATTCTTTCAATTAATGAATTTTTTTTAGGGAGAGGAAGCACAAGGTTAGAAGAGTCGTAATATGTTTCATTTAGAAAAAATTAGAACCTTTATATTGTTTTCCTTTTTTTTTTGGTTTCTCAGCTACTTCAAAGTCTGAAGAAAATGGATATGAGTTGGTCTGCAGATTTGAAAGAGATTCCAGATCTTTCAAAAGCAATAAATCTCGAGAAATTGAGCCTTTGGGGATGCACATCATTGGTGACACTTCCTTCCTCAGTTTGGAATCTCAAAAAACTGCGGGTGTTATCCATGGGGAGATGCTCTAAGCTTAAGGGGCTGCCATCTGACGTCAACTTGGAATCTCTTGAAGTACTCGATCTCGAAGGATGCTCCAAGTTGAGAAAATTTCCTCGAATATCAAAGAACATTTCACAGCTTTTTCTAGATGAAACTGCAATAAATGGAGAAGAAGATTGTTCTTGGATTGAGAATATCCCTCACCTTATCAGAATGGAGTGGGATGGTGTTCCAATGAGATGTATGCCATCTAATTTCTGCCCAGAGTATCTGATGGTACTTGAAATGAAAAATAGCAAGCTTGAAAAGTTATGGGGAGGCGTCAAGGTCTAATCGCCATTCATTGTTAATGCTGTATTATATGGGAAAATATTCTAAAACTTATGGTTAATTTCAATAGTTTATTGGAATCAAAGGCATAACATGTTTCTTGTTTCCTTTTTTTCAGTCGCTTGGAAGTCTCTGGAAGATGGTTTTGGCAGGATGTGAAAGCCTGGTCGAAATTCCAGATCTTTCAAAGGCCACCCAACTAATCAATTTGGTACTAAGGGATTGTAAAAGTTTGGTGATGCTCCCGTCTTCAATTGGGAATCTCAGCAAACTGACGAACTTGAGCATGAAAGGATGCACAATGCTCGAGGTTCTACCAACGGACGTCAACTTGGAATCTCTTCATTGCCTCGATCTCAGAGAATGCTCAAAGTTGAGAAACTTTCCTCAGATTTCAACGAGTGTTGTGACTCTTTATCTAGACGACACTGCGATTGAACGAGTCCCTTCCTGGATTGAGAAGATGCATTACCTCCGGACACTAACGATGAGTCGGTGCAAGATGTTAAAAAACGTCTCCCCAAGTATTTTGAAATTGGTATATCTTAATGCAGACTTTTCAGACTGTGGAGGAATCACAACAATGTGTGATCAGTTACCAGGGCCCGACAAGGCCTCCTTTCTTCTTACAGTTACCTCTCTGAGTTCTCTCGAGTTCAATAATTGCTTCAATCTGAATCGAGATGCACAGGCACTCATCCTACAATCACACTTGTACTGTGCCGTTTTACCAGGTGGAGAAGTGCCGGTGTATTTCACACATCAAGCTTGTGGAAGTTCCCTAAGTATCCTTTTGTCTGAGAGCTCTCTTTCTCTAGAAAATATTGGATTTAAAGCATGCATCGTGGTTGGACGTCCAGCACACAAAGACGACCGTTCTGCAAACGTCGGAGTTCGCTGGTGCTTTCGAGGCAGAAAAGGCGTGATTAGTTTAGGAATGAAATCGGCGTCGTGCGAGATGGATCATCTGGTTATGCGCTTTTTTGGTTTCCCTGAAGAAGAAGTCGATAGATTCCCGTCTGAATTGACCAACAGCAACGTTCTACAACTTGAGTTTTACTACCACGGCTATGCTTGTTCCGGGGAATATCTTGCCATTAACCCACACACTTGTCCCCTTTTACCTCGGAGGATCAAAGGATGCGGTGTACGAGTCGTGAAAGTGATGAAGAGGGTGATAGAAGCAAGAAGAGGATGCGGCGGGTAAGCTTTACCATACATTTCAACAGAAAACTTCAAACGCTATATATATATTTTTCAGATTCAGCTAGAAAGTAGAATATAATCACTTGATTTATTATGATGCAGATGACTGTTACAACATCTCAAGAACCTTCCAACTCCATCTGCGGCCAAACTACAGTGAACAGCTCCCAGTTTGGAGCTTTCCTTAGGGGTGGTTGAAGCTTCTGCTCAGGTACTTTAATGTGCCCTCGCCATCAAGGAGCTTCCATGGAGACGATGGACCATCACTCTCTCTTTCCCTCCGTGTCTTAGCGGAGAATCTTTGTATTTTGATCCCATGATAATCGAACAACAAGACACAGGGACACCCATCGAAGATCCTTCATTGTCTCTACAGCTTGTATAAACTATTTCAAGTAACTGAAACACCATCTTACAACTCTGTTTCATCCTATTTTTTGATTAATTTGTGATAGACCATGACCATTAGTGATAATTACACTAGCAAGTTTTTTGGTTCTGTATAGTCATGGTTCTGCAGCCGATGGACTTGAAGCGTGGTTAATGGTCTTTTACATAGTCTTGTATTTTCTTTGCCAACAACAGTCTTATGGTTAATGCTCTTTTACAGAGTCTTAACTAATGAGCCTTAACTAACTTCTAAGTATTGTATTTGTAATCAGTCATCTATGTAGGTTTTGTTATTCGTTTTAAATGTTTTCCCACAAATCTGTTTTCGTTACAACTCAGACCCTTCTTGTGTATATGATGATTCTCTCTATCCAAAGTTTTATTTTTTTTGGTTATGCAAGAGAGCCACTTACTCTTTGAATGTCACAGTTTTGGTTCTTTGCACAGTTGTAACAATTTGTTCAAAAATTTTCAAAGCTATTCTTTTTCTTTCTGCTTGTTTCTAAGGCACAAAACATTACAAAAATCACTTCTTTTGGAAATTGAGTTTGCCAATAAAGAATGCGAAAAGAGATGCTAAGAGAATGGGGAAAGCAATGAGAACGAGAGCTACAAGAGCTAATGAGTCATATTTGTAACCAAAATAGTCTTCCAAGAAAGCTGAAACTTTCTTCTTCTCTCCAAATGCTATTATCTCTTTCTCCATATCTCCATACTGCGATGTGAGCAATCCATTCAAAACCCATGACGTCGGACTCAAGTAATACATCCAAATCCACCATTTCGGAATGTTCTGCATATCAGCAAAAGTCCCAAAATTTCATATCTTGATGATTTTTCTGAAACTCTTTATCTTTCTTTAGGGTTCTTTCTCAAAACAAGAAAGTAAAGTTAAGAGGACTTACAGGTTTTGGCATGACATAACCAGCAAAGAGATTGACGATTGAGTAAAAAGAGGAACGGAGAGTAAAAGCAACGTGAATGTTTGGGGTCACGACGACTAATAGCATACCGAAATAGTTGAAAATGAGCAACGAGCAGAAGACTGAGTAGAAGCTCCAAAACACTTTGTAGAACGACCAGTGAAAGCCAACCATAGGATATACGATTGTCACACATACAATAGATTGGAATAATGAATATGGAATTTCAACCAACACCTGTAATAAGTAAGCCTTGAGATTCAATTCCAACGCAGAGATCTTTTTTTTGTTGTTGTTCATTGATTGAGAAAATGTTCTAACCTGAGCAAGGGAATACGCCCACGAGGTGTACATTCGAGCAAATCTTTCGCGGTAGAAGACATTTCGTTCGGTCGCAACGCAGAATAACACTGTTGAGCAATTGTTTATACCAGAGAAGAGAACCACAGTGAACATTGAGCCAAATATGTTGAATAGATCTTGCTGATTGTTTCTGCAAAGAAGATAGGTAAACAAAGATTGAATATTCTCCTTTTACAATCTTTAAGAGAAAACAACTCAAGAAAGATAGGGAAAGAGACTAACATTTCCTTAGCTTTTTGCCAGAAGACAATGCCACAGAGAACAGAGGTAAGACTCATGAAGATGATGCGAGTGAGATTGTATGAAGGGTTTCTCCAATAAGAGAGATGTTGTTTCCAGAGGCATGCTTTGAATTGTTCCCACCCGGTTTGAGCATACCGCGAAGAGGAGATTAATCCTTCTGATCCCAAAGATGCAGAGCTCATTTCCTCAATAACCAATTTGTTCTCCCTGAAACCAAAAAGAAAAGCAGGAGTGTGATCTACAATAGCAGTTTCAAGCAAACAACATCCAAAGTGTTTATAGACTTACTTAAACAAAGCCGATTCGTTGTACGTTTGTGCCAAATCAACACCAAGTTTGTCTTCAGATGATTTTGAAGTAATGTCTAGTAGCCAAGTGGCTGGATTAGAGTTCTCTTTCATTTTCGGAACTCCAGGAATGCTCTACAGTTGAAAATTATTTTGTAAGTAAAGAAAACAAACCATACTTTATATATGCAGCAGTTTCAGAAACTTACCATAAAGTATTCAATGACTGTGCTTGAATGTTGTCCAAGAGGTCCATAATAGATAATTTTCCCTCCATTTTTCATCAGGATCAGCTGCAATTTCAGGGTCACATAATGTACTTTAGACAAAGAGATTTGATGAGATGAATGTTATTTACCTCATCAAATGCCTCGAAGATATCTATTCCCGGCTGGTGAATCGTGCAGACAACGGTTCTTCCAGTCTCGGCGATGTTCTTCACAGCTCTCATTACAATTGCAGCAGCTCTTGCGTCTAGTCCTGTGGTTGGTTCATCCATAAATATGATTGAGGGATTCGAAACAAGCTCAACAGCTATTGTCAGTCTCTTGCGCTGTTCTGTAGTTAAACCACTAACTCCAGGAAGTCCCACTATGGAAACTTTAATCTCCTCGAGCTCTATGGTCTCAAGAACTTCCTTGACTATTGCCTGAAAAGCAAAAACCAAGAAAATACTAAGACGAATAAGCTAAAGGAAGGAGAAGAAACTGGTTTTTTTTTTTTTTTTTTTTAATGATGACTTACACGCTTTGTTTCTGAATTGATGTTAGAAGGCAGCCGAAGCCAAGCAGAGTATTTCAAGGACTCTTCGACAGTTAGATTAGGAGAATGAATGTCAAACTGTTCGCAGTAACCTGAAACACGTGCAAATGTTTCTTGAACCTTAAGGTAACCGCCTACTTGGATCTGTCCTTCAATGTCACCGCGAGTTTTCCTCCCGGAAAGAACATCAAGCAGAGTCGTTTTCCCAGCGCCACTCACACCCATTAGAGCAGTGAGAACACCGGGCTTGAATGCTCCTGTAACGCCAGAGAGAAGCTGCAGCTTCTTTCCCTTTAACAGAAAAGTGATTTACTCTGTGTGTTGATGAGAAAGATTCAAGAAAAAAACTTGTAACTGATCTTAGATACACTTATTTTTACCTGAGGTGTCTCGATGAAATATCGCACGTCTTGAAATGTGAAAGTTAAGGGCTTGAAAGGCAATGCATTTTTGGACTGGGAAGCAATTTTAGAACCTGTTTTATGATATTTTCCTGAACTTTGAGTGTTCTTCTCATGAGAAACAACCATACGAGACCTCTGTGAAGCTGAGGTTACAGAGAAATCAATCCTTATTGTCCTATACAACTTCATTAAGTCACATCTTGTATATAAATCTCTTGTGAACTTACTCTTTAGAAATGTCAAGGCCAATGCAAAAACAGTATTGAAGAAGAGTGTGAAGCCAATTAAAGCGCCAAATGCAGTCCAGTAAGATTGGTTACCAAAGTTCAGACCGCGAGCATCTAGAACTTGTCCCCCCAAAGTTCTGTTTTCAGATGTTGTCTAATGGTAATAAAAAGATTAATAATGAACTAAAAATCTTAGCGAGAAAAAATGTAAAAAACTCTTATGGAGAATTGATTACCTTTCTCCACCGTGGAGCGAAAAACTCATTTGTGGTTAGACCAATCTCAGCATATGACAATGGAGATAACCAGAATCCCCACTCAAGCCAAGCAGGCATGGAGGCTGGAAAGAAAAAAAAAACAGAGCACCATTACAATGAATCCTCTGAAAATTCAGATATCAAGTAACTAAACTTACGTTTTCGAACAATGAATCCTCCGAACAGTGCGAGAACCACTACAGAGATGGTTCCCATGGTTGTGGCAACAACAAAATCTCGAAAAGTGGCAGCTATAGCACGGAACATTGATATACATGAAAGGTGTAAAGCAAAGAAGATCAAGAACTGGCGAATGAACCTGAAGGAAGATGATTTGGTTAGTAGAGATAACATGTTCTTAAATTTGGTAACATGTTCCAAATTAGTACCTGCCAATCTCAGGACTGTAACCAATGACATAATATGTCAGCAACGTCCAGAGGAAAGATTCAAGAAATGAAATCGGTATCTTTAAGATAGCTGAAGGCAATGCATAAGTCCAAGCAGGATAAAAGTATAACTCTTTTTGCTTGCAGAAAACCGCAATCCTCGAGATTGTTAGTGTAAGTTCTGGAAGTCCATCAGCAAGAAGTTTAAAGAGTGAAAAGAACAGAGAACCCATAAGGTAATTAGCATGAAGAGCATCTCTTGTAGAACCAGTCCTTAGATAAACAGTCATTGCAATGAAACCCATGAAAATTAACTGCAGAAAAAAGGATAAAAGATTTTTAGAATGTAGTTTGGTAAAAAACAAGTAGAGTTTTTCTGCAAAGTTAAATAAAGAAGAATTTACGAGTCCAGATTTGAATACGTAAACGAAAGAGTTTCGTTTCATGAGAAGAAACTCTCTCCTTGAGCAATCTTTTAGCATCTCCCAGTTACTAAGTGAGTACTTTTTAAAGCATAGTGCATCTTTTTGACTCTGAGACTTTTCATAGCTCTTGGAGACTTTTTCTTGTAGTTGTAACCCAATATCAGAATTTTTAAATCTCTCTATAAATGAATCAATGGAGACATAACAGTATGGTTTGTCTGTGTGACACCAATACTGTTCTTGATCTTTTCTTGAGATAACCTGCAGTACAAGAAAGTAAGATGATCATCAAGGTTTCAGATCTAGCAGATGTATATATGATCAAGAGTTTATGATATATCATCCCTATCAGATTCATACCTCCTGCAAGAACTCAGCAACAGATTTCCTATTTGGACATTTAAATCCACAATCCTCAAAGAATCTACATATGCAATATCGTGGACCTTGATAGATTATCTTTCCTTCTCCCATAAGAATCACGTCATCGAAAAGCTCAAACGTTTCTGGTGCAGGCTGAAGAAGTGAAACCAGTATGGTTCCTTCAGACAGAAGTGCAAACTGCTGGAGACAAGACAGAATCTGGAACGTGGTTGAGCTGTCCAAACCATTTGATATTTCATCCATGAACAGAGTTTTGATGGGACCAACAATCGTCTCACCTGCAGATACATACCAAATATGAGATTTGGTTTTGAAAAAAACATAAAATCAATGTGTGAATCACCTGTAGTTAATCTTCTCTTTTGGCCACCGGATATTCCTGGTCTTGAAGCATCTCCAACGCGTGTATCTGCACAGGTATTGAGTCCTAGGATCTGAAAATAAACAGATTTATTAATAAACTTCTGGTAAGAACATAACAGAAGTTACAGATGAGAACTGAAAGATTCATTACCTTTAGGATATAGTCGGTTTGAATATTAGTTTTTGAACCTTCAATCGAAGCTGCCTGTGAGATGATAAAGATAGTCGAATTTCGATCCAATCCAACTTCTAATTTGAATTCGTTTTAGTTTCATATACAAAGTACCTTCATGTATGCATCTATATCAGGATCTGGAACTGTTCCTTTCAGTTTCTCCCTTCTACTTATCTCTTTCATCATTTCTGTTAAAAATCAAAACAAGATCATTGCAACAAGAACTCAGCAGAAAATAAACACAGGAATTACTATTTTCCTCACCTAAACGACTTCCTGCACCTTGAAAACATCCCGAAAAATCTAGTGTCTCTCTGACACTGAGCTCTGGAATGTGCAGATAATTTTGACTTACATAACTCGATGTCTTCTCAGGAACAAACTCTGATAATAAGTGACCGTTGTAGCTTACTTCTCCTCTAGTCTGAAATGTGGAAGCAACCCACATATTATTTCTGAACATACATTACACGTTTAACGTTTAATTCTTTAGCCAAACCTTTAAAGATGAGTCGAGTCTTCCCGATAGTGCGAGTAGCAGAGTGGTTTTACCACAACCAGGAGGACCAAGCAACAAAGTCATTCTACCAAAAAAAGAAAAGCCTTTTTTAATCATTCTTGAAAACAAATCAAAAAAATTAAGTTCTTGTTTCAAGAATCTACCTTTTAGGCCTTATGATGCCACTGACGCCTTTCAAGATGCTTATCTTCTTTTCTTGCTTTGAACACATGAACCCCTGTCAAAAGCACGAGTATGCGCATAATCAAACTGGAAAAATCTTAGATTAAGGATGTTAACGTGGGAACTAAGAAAGGATTCAATTCTCAGAAGCATTTTATATGTACACTTACAGATAATCTGCTTGCAGTTGCATTCCAAAGAGTTGGGATCGGTTTTCCATAAACTACCTCACACTCTGCTTCGACGAAAAGATCTCTAAACCTCACTTCAATCTTTGGTAACTCGATCCCAACACTACAAGATATAACGGTAGTGTTGATAGCATTTACATTTCTAGTGCATATGAACATGCAAACACGAACATTAATGGAAGAAGAGAAAAAAAAAAACAGAACCTAGAAGCGTGACTTACTCGTCAATTCTCTTCCTTATTTTCTGCAGCAACCGGAGATTATCGATCTCAACATGTCTAATGAGCTCATCGATAAAGAGACGTCTATCAAGATCCTCAAGCTTAGACACATCCATGACTTGTAGTCTCGATCTTCTCTTCCCTTGTTCATCTGTTTTGGAGAACAAAACAGTTGTGATCCTTTCGAATGTTGGTAATCTCTCGATATCAGCCCATTGAGACTGAAGCTTCTCATCATCATCACCACCGTCACCATTCCTAGAAGCAAGCTCAAGCTCGATTGTCTCAGCTTTATCATCTCCACCTGTTTGAGGCATTTTCATTATTTCAAAACCAAAGTTCGTAAAGGATAACAATCTTAACAGAAGAAGCTAATGAATAAACAAGTTGGGTAAGCGTTGAAAATAAACAATTGGCTTCATGATGAGGTGTTAATGCGTCGTCCCCACAAAGGCATGGACCAACCGATAAAAACAGAAAAGATAATGAATAAAACAAAATGGGTGAGCGTTGAAAAAAAAAACAGTTCGATTTTGCATTTCGTCGAACATTTTTGACCAAAACCATATTTTTGTAGAAACAACAAATCCGAGCCTCCCACATGTGTGAAAAATAAAAAACTTTTTCTTTTACCAAAATACCCCTGGCCTAATCTTGCCAATTGTCAAGAGTCCAAATAGATGTTTTGCGTGGTGAAGTCAACTTTGTGGTTTTACAGATCAAATGAGCAAAGAAAACCAATCATCTTCGATTAAACATACTCTGTTTTACACAGACAAGAGTCAGAACTTTGTTTTTACCGCAGACAATGTGGTTGGATCCTCATCTTCGATTCAGTCCTGATACCAAAAACTCTCCTTCTCAAAGATCAAATCCTCTGTTTTCTCAGAAAGCAAGAACAGAGAATAAGATACAATAATCAGGCATGTTGTACGACAGAGCCTGTTAAATCAGAGATGGAACCGTGTTAATGGATGTCGGGAAACTGAAACAGAGCTTTGCAAATACTATCATCCAGCTACATTTCTATTATAGGTATAATCAGGGACATTGCATATACAATAATTAGCCATTTGTGTGACCTTTAATAACATAAGAGAGGCCGATGGACTCTAGTTGAAAGTAAGCATAGAGAAACTGCTATTGGTTACGAAAAAAGACATTATTTCTTTTGGAAATTGAGTTTGCTCATGAAGAGTGCAAAAAGAGAAGCCACGATAATGGGAAAAGCGATGAGGACAAACGCTACAACAGCCAGTGAGTCGTGTCTGTAACCGAAGTAATCTTCCAAGAAAGCTGAAACTCTCTTCTTCTCTCCAAACACCATTATCTCTTTGTCGACATCTCCGTACTGCGAACTCAGTAATCCTTCCAACACCCAAGACGTCGGGCTCAGGTAGTACATCCATATCCACCATTTGGGGATTTTCTGCGGAAAAAGAAACATTTTTTTTCGTATTCATGAGTCTGAAACTTGATTATCATCCAAGGGCCAAGGCACAATATTTTCCTTCTTTATATAAATGATATATGCAGCAAGTTTTGAATTAGATAGACCTGACATTGCTCTACTATTGGTTATTGATACAATATAAGGCCATAGGTTCCATAGCACATACTTAAGATCTTGGCTATATGTAAAAACGGCATGAGAGAGAAGGGGGCTTACTTGTTTTGGAATGACAAAGCCAGCAAACAGATTTACCATTGAGAAAAAAGTCGAGCGTAGAGTCAAAGCCATGTGAATGTTAGGAGTCAAAGCGACCATAAGCATCCCACAGTAGTTGAAGATGAGCAACGAGCAGAAGGTGCTGTACAAGCTCCAAAACATTTTGTAGACTGAAATATGGTAACCGATCATTGGATATACGATTATTGTACATAGAAGGGACTGGAGTAGTGAGTATGGGACCTCAACTAGGACCTGCAAAACATTAAAAACCTGGATCATGTAGAGAGAAATTTGGCCAGTAGATTCAAGAAACTTATTGGCATCCAATAGGAGTGGAAGCCTAAGCGATTTGCTATAAGATCTATTTCTTCAAAGTTGACAAAACATAAATTTTAAAGGAAACACTCTTAACCTGAGAAAATGAATACGCCCATGACGAGTACATCCGCGCAAACCTTTCACGGTAGAAAACATTGCGTTCGGTTGCAATGAAGTTCATCACTGTCGCGCAATTGTTTATTCCCGAGAAGACTACTAGAGTGTACATTGAGCCAAATACGCTTAAAAGATCTTGCTGATTATTTCTGCAGATTAGAAGGAAACACAGATTGATTAACATAGCTTTTTGAAGGCATTGATGGAGACGTACACCCATACAATATCGGTGATTTCCACAATTTAATTGCACACAATCATATATTTCAAAATGGTGAGAGCAGAGACTTACATTTTCTTAGCTTTTTGCCAGAAGAGAAGGCCACATAACGTAGAGTTGAGCGATACGAAGACTATGCGAGTGAGATTGTGTGAAGGGTTTCTCCAATACGAGCAATGTTGTTTCCAAAAGCAAGCCTTTAGTTGCCCACAACCTGTTTGTGAAAAACGCGAAGGAAAGCTCAAAGCTTCTGATCCAGGAGATGCAGAACTCAGTTGCTCGACCACCAGTATGCTCTCCCTGCAAGAAAGGACCGAACAATCAGCACTGAGAAAATTAGTTTTTACGCACACTTGCAAAGATTATGAGGATTGCTGCACAAAGACTCACTTGTACAGCGTTGAATCCTTGTATGCCTGTGCAAAGTCCATTCCAAGTTTTTCCTCTGCATATTTACAAGTAATATCTAACATCCAGGTGGCTGGATTATAATTCTTTTGGATCTTTGGAACTCCAGGAATGCTCTGTTAATAAATAGTACTCTATAAGTTATATTGTAGAATCAAAAACCCAGCCGAGATGAAACCAGTCAAGATGTATCGTAGAGAAACTGACCTCAAAGTATTCGATAACTTTACTAGAATGTTTTCCAAGAGGACCATAGTAGACAAGCTGTCCCCCGTTTTTCATCAGAATCAGCTGCAATTAAAGGAATAAGAAGCTGCTACGGACATCAAACTTTAGAGTATGTGGTTTAAATCAACGAGTTTAGCTGTTTACCTCATCAAATGTCTCAAAGATATCTATGCTCGGCTGGTGGATCGTGCAAACAACCGTTCTCCCAGTTTCAGCAACATTTTTCACAGCTCTCATAACAATGGCGGCGGCTCTTGCGTCTAGCCCTGTGGTAGGCTCATCCATAAATATGATGGAAGGGTTAGCAACAAGCTCCACAGCTATAGTCAGCCGTTTGCGTTGTTCTGTGGATAAACCACTGATTCCAGGAAGTCCCACCATGGAATCTTTAATGCCCTCAAGCTCAACTGTCTGAAGAACTTCATTGACGAGTTCCTGAAGCCAGATCCAAAGTATATTCAGATTATATTGCGGTCAAAATCTTGTTGTGGATTCTTTTTGAGAGTTTGATTACTCACATTCTTGGTCTTTGAATCAATGTTATAGGGAAGTCGAAGCCAAGCAGAATATTTCAAAGACTCTTCCACTGTTATATTAGGAGAATGAATATCAAACTGTTCACAGTAACCTGATACTCGTGCAAATGTTTCTTGAACCTTAGGATAACCCCCTACTCGGATCTCTCCTTTGATGGTACCGCGGGTTTTCCTTCCAGAAAGAACATCTAGAAGAGTCGTTTTCCCAGCTCCACTAACACCCATCAGAGATGTGAGAACTCCGGGCTTGAATGCGCCTGTGATATCAGAGAGAAGCTGCCGTTTCTTTCCCTAAGAGGAACATGAGTCGCGTGTAAACTTGTGTTCTGTTTGAGAATTTAAGTTTCACTAAGCATTCATACTGATCTTAAATAATGTTTTACCTGAGGAGTCTCAATATGATACTCCACGTTTTGAAATGTGACAGTGAGGGGCTTGAAAGGCAAGATAATTTTTCCTGCGAAAATAGGCCAAGAGATGTGAAAAGCTATCTTGTCACAAACAGTGGCAGTCACTTGTGGATTAGATGATAAAAAAGAGATACCTGTTTTAGCTCGGGACGTATTTTCAGGGCAGGGTTTAAAATCTTCTTCTGAGCGCTGAGAGTTTTTCTCATGAGAGACAATAGCACGAGATCTTTGCGGATCTTCACAGACAAATATATCTTGTCAATATTACAGTTGACTAACACTTTACACTTATAAAATCATTTCTACAATCATTTGTGGCGAACTTACTACTCTGATATGTCAGGGCCAATGCGTAGAGGACATTGAAGAACAATATAAACCCGATCAAAGCCCCCAAAGCTATCCAGTAAGAGTGACTACCGAAATTCAATCCACGAACATCTAACACTTGTTCCCCGGCCGTGGTGTTGCCAGAGATTAACTTTTCCAGAAGATAAATCGGATCAGCAAACTAGATTTGCTAGAATAATGTGAAAGACTTCTGAAGTATTATTACCTTTCTCCACCGTGGAGCGAAAAATTCGTTTGCAGTTAGACCAATCTCAGCATATGACAATGGAGAAAGCCAGAATCCCCATTCCAGCCAAGCAGGCATGGACGCTGAAAGATAGAGAATTGTTATAACAAGTGCATGGTTATATAATCAACACCAAAACTTGCTTACAAGTTACAATAAGGCGCCCAAATGACATATACATAATTTACCAAATTTTCTGCATGGTGGATGTTGATAATAATATTGCATATACTTGTAAATAATACTTCAGAACTGTAGAAGCATAGCTTGATTAAAGAACGTTACCAAAAACTTACATTTTGGAATAACGAAGCCTCCGAATGATGAGAGAACCAATACGGAAATAACTCCAGCGATTGAGGAAGCAACAACTGTGCGACAGATTGAAGCTATAGCGCGAAACATTGATACACATGATAGGTTGAATGTAAATAAGATAAGGAACTGCCGAAAGAACCTGAAGGAAAGTCACACTTACTGTTAGAAGCAGTTTACTCAACTGAAGTTGGATCTATCGTTGAAGGCATCTTAAAGAAAAAAACTTATTTACCTTCCGGCTTCGGGGCTGTAACCAATGACATAATATGTCAGTAATGTCCAAAGGAATGAATCAAAAACCGAAAGAGGTATCTTTAAGATAATTGAAGGAATTGCATATGCCCACGCAGGATAGAAGTATAAATCTTTCTGCTTGTAAAACACTCCCAATCTGGAGAGAGTCAAACTGAGCTCTGGAAGCCCATCAGCAAGAAGTCTAAAGAGAGCAGTGAACAGAGAACCCATAAGATAATTCCCATGAAGAGCATCCGTCGTAGCTCCAGCTTGTAGAAAAAGAGTCATTGTGACTATCGCATTGAAAACTAACTGCATAGAGAAAGAGGTTAATTAGCATACAATACAAGGGTAAATGATAAGGAAACCTTGGAAGAGTAAAGGAATGTACCAGTCCAGATTTGAAAAAGTATATGAAAGAATTCCGTTTCATCAGAAGATATTCTCTCCTCGAGCAAGCTTTAAGCATCTCCCATTTACCCAGTGAGTATTTTCTATAACATAAACCATCCTTGCGAGTCTGAGATTTATCAAACGGCTTTGAGAGTTCTTCCTTTGCCAGCACCCCAAGATTTGATTCTTTAAACTTCTCAATGAATGAATCAACAGAGATGTAACTGTAGGGCTTGCCTCTGTGGCACCAATATTGCTCTTGATCTTTTCTAGACATAACCTCTTGGAGGAAGTCAGCAACGCCTTTCCTCTCTGGACACTTAAATCCACAATCTTCGAAGAATCTGCAGATATCAGCTCGTGGAGCATGGTAAACTATCTTTCCTTCCCCCATAAGAATCACATCGTCAAAAAGCTCAAACGTTTCTGGTGCAGGCTGAAGCAGTGAAACCAGTATGGTGGCATCAGCTATATGCGCCAAATGTTGGAGGCATGCCACTATCTGAAACGTAGTTGAGCTGTCCAAACCATTCGATATTTCATCCATGAACAGAGTTGTAGCTGGACCCACAACAAGTTCCCCTACAGTAGCCGACATAAATATTAAAAGCTCTGATCAGACGACTGTGAATGGCGGTAAGAAACTGAAATTACCTGTTGTCAACCTCCTCTTTTGGCCACCAGATATTCCAGGTCTCGTGGCATCTCCAACTCGTGTATCTGCACAGATATCGAGTCCCAGGATCTGAAAGATGGACTCGCAAAAAATTAATAATAATGCAGCATATGGATGAAAAGGTCAGAAGATTAGTAAAGCAACCATGGAAGCAGCATACCTTTAAGATATAGTCAGTTTGAATATTGTTTTTTAAACCTTCAACAGATATTGCCTGTCATAGCAAAGGTAAAGGACAAAATGAGCTTTTTAACGTCTTAAAAGTGTTTCAAGAATTCAATCTTTCATTAGCTACCTTCATGTAAGCATCTATATCAGGATCTGGTACGATTTCTTGGAGTTTCTCCTTTCTACTAATCTCCTTCATAATTTCTACAGAATAAACCGTGGCTTGTTAGTATAAAGTGAGATCATACATTAAAAATATCCTACATTTCGAATGAACTATCAGAAATCTGGTCCTCACCCGTACGGCTTCCTATGCCCTGGCAACACGCGGAGAAGTCTAGCGTCTCTCTCACACTCATCTCTGGAATATGCAGATCGTTTTGACTTATATAACTCGACGTTTTCTCTGGAATAAACTCTGAAAGTAAGCAACCATTGTAACTTATTTCTCCCCCAACCTGCAAAGTGAAGACAACCCTTGTGAGCTCTAATATACAATATGATTTTAGTTCAACAGGCTTATGTGATTACTTCTTTGGTCAAACCTTTACAGAAGGGGCAAGTCTTCCAGAAAGTGCCTGAAGCAGAGTGGTTTTGCCACAACCAGGAGGACCGAGCAATAAAGTCATCCTGCAAGAAAACCAATATATCTTTTGAGCTGAATAATAATATTTGCAAGAATAGAAACACTAACACAAGATAACCAATCACCCTTCATTTCTTCTTCCTTGCAACCTAAGGGATTAGATAACTGCCTGATGAATTTTTTTACCTTCCAGGCCTTACGATACCGCTAACGCCTTTCAAAATGCCTATCTTGGTTTCTTTCTTTGAACAAACGAACTCCTGTTAACAACAATAACCATCAAGTTTTAACTAGGTACACATGGAAAGCGGCAAAGCGCTCCATATCCAGATCGATGTAGCAAATACAATTGGTGGTACTTACAGATAGCATGCCCTTGATAGTATTCCAAAGCGTTGGGATAGGCTTTCCATGAATTACTTCGCATTCTGCTTCAACAGAAAGGTTACTGAACCTCACTTCCACCTTTGGTAACTCTATACCAACTCTACAATCACACGTGTTACAACGGATTAATAGGGTAAGATCAACAACACTATGATCAGGAACAGAAACAGAGAAAGCATGGGGTTTTAGAGGCATGCAGTGGCTTACTCGTCGATTCTCTTCCTTATTGTTCGTAGTAATTGGAGGTTATCAGCCTCGATTTGTTTGACAAGCTTCTCGATTAACAAGTGTCTCTCAGAAGCCTCAAGTTTCGTAACATCAATGACTCCGCCTTTATCTGACGCTTCATCTCTTCTTCGAAGAGTAGTAGTAATCCTTTTATAAGTTGGTAATCTCTCAACTGTAGCCCACTGCGACCGAAGCTCTTCCTTCTCATCATCAGCACCATTTCCAGAAGCAAACTCAACTCGGAAAAACTTCGCCTTTTCGTCATCATATTCACCTGTTTGAGCCATTAATGTCAAATAAAAGCCAAAAGGAACTTCTTATCAACAATGAGAAGCAAACATAACAATATGAAGATGAAGCTATCCAAGTCGGAACTTTGTCTATATATAACTAATAACTTTAACAAAACGTACGCATACATTAATATCACGCGAGCTCCACGTGTGAATGCGTGATCTCATCCATAGAATCCGGTCGTGCACAGAGAAAAAAACTGTACAAAAGAACGTATAAACTAATAAATATCCGGTACCCATTGAAAAATATGATGATTTAAAGTAAGCAAAGATACATCTTTTCAATATTAGTCAGCGCATTAACGATGTGAGAACAGATTCAGAGTATTCATATTTCCACAAAAACTCATTGGGTTTCTCTGAGGCATTCCATCGAACACTTGGACCCGTATATAAACGATACGGTTTAGTGGGTACCTTCTTCTATATTTCCAGAGATTTTCTGAAGTAAGCATTTTTTTTTTTGGGTTAGATCGAATCGAATCAAATTCGTATTCAGAGACACGAATGGAAGACAGTGGATGAGCAAAGAACAACATGCAATTTTCTTCAACATCACGTCCTCTCCAGAAGATAGGATATCACAAAATATTTAGAATCATGTCAGAGATTAATGAGAGACACAGAGAAAAGAGGTTAATTTAACGAACGATCGTATCATCGGCTGACGCGTTTCCCTGTTACTCGCCGAGACGTCGCCGACAATTTGAGAATTCGTGACGCGACATCATTTTCAAATAGTTCTCTGTTTTTTATATTTTGGAACAGTACAATTATATTGAGAGGAGTGAAAGAATGTTTTAACTGGGCCTAGGCCCATTTTAAGGTATGATGCACAAACATGAAATGATCTAAAAAGTAGAGAGATACTGTACAAGTTAGGAGCCGGAGATTTTCAAGTCCACCACGACAATTTGATTGAATTCGGTTTAAGATTAATCGAATTTGGTTTTGTTTAAACGGATTTGGTCTTTTAACCAAACGAATGAATCGTTTTCATGCCAAGCACAAGAAGTTAAAAAAACTAATATTGTGAAAAGAGAAGAAAAGAAAATAAGTTCCTCTTGAATGGTATAGTAAGATAGGTAATATCAAACAAAACTAACTTCAATTAATAGGATAAGTAGAGAGACAAGTAGTACTTGTGGGTGAACACTTGTGCAAGCCATCTAACACTTATATAGTGCTAAAATTAGAGTTGAGACAGATTTAAGACGAGTAGTATAGTAAATGATGTTTTGTTGAGAAAATGCTAAAATGTATGCCTGAGATTTTTACTCAAACCGAGTCGAACTGAATGGTTACTCGTTTTTTTTTAATAAAAAAATTGAAATTACATTCAAAAAAACTAAACTATGCCAAATTATATTAAACCGAATATCCGAACTCAAAAACTATCCGAATTTATCTGAAATTACTTGAATATAACCGAATTGATATTCGAATCGAACCGAATTAAATTTTGGTTATTTTTGATAGAATTTCTGCAAACCAAATTATCCAACTATCTGAACAACCGAATTATCCAAAGTTTCAAGGCTACTAAAAGAGCAGAGGGCAATAAAGTCATTATATATCCTCCAGTGGACGGCCAAAAGCAAATCTCCAGTCGTTTTATGTCTCCCCTCCAGATCATTTACGAAAAAGAAAAAAATCAAAAAACATTTGTATTTCCTCCACGTTTTTAAAAAACACATTTAAGAATAACACAGAAAAGGACATAAAGAAGACAATCAATCTCCTCGGAAAATCGAATTCTGTGAACCCCAATTATTGGAAAGGGATAATTCCAAAAAAAAAATTGGGAAATGACGAAAGAGAACAAGGACGACGCCAGGAATCAAAGGGCAATAAAGTCATTATCAATCCTCAATGGACGGCAGAAGCAGATCCAACATTTAATCTCTCCATTAAAAACCAAACCACTTGCAAGCTTGTGTTGCTATATAAACGGCTCTCGAGAGCTTTCTTTCATGCAACCCTTCACCTAAACTTCTACTACTATTGCACTAAAGTCAACCTTTTTTTTTACTTTCTTTGTTTCAATTTGGAACAAGAATCAATGGCTGCGAATTACAACGAAAAGCTTCTTCTCAACTACGTTCCCATCTACGTTATGCTTCCGGTAATAAGACTATTCTTTGAGTGACATGTTCACATCATATTTTGATTTTAGCAATAACATAGTTTATAATTTTATGTTTTTATCGATGTTTTCACACGTTACGTAGTATGCTGTGCGATGTCATATTTACGTAAATGTAACCTTTTTGTTATTTTTACACATATAAAAACATAATGTCATGATAAGAAAACTATAACCTAATAATAAGAAATGTCATTAATTGTAAGTATCGTTGGTTTAACGCTCATCAAATTCAAATTCGAATTTTATCGGACGGTTAAGACTGAAAAATAAAATGAATTGTGAATACAGTTGGGAGTGGTGAATGTGGAAAACGTATTCGCGGACCCAGAAACGCTTGAAACGCAGATCAAGCGTCTCAAAGAAGAAGCTGGTATCGACGGCGTTATGATTGATGTTTGGTGGGGAATCATTGAATCCAAAGGCCCCAAACAATACGACTGGACCGCTTACAAATCGCTATTCCAGCTAATCGCGCGTTTAGGACTCAAGATCCAAGCGATCATGTCGTTTCACCAATGCGGCGGAAACGTCGGAGACGTCGTCACAATCCCGATCCCGAAATGGGTTCGTGACGTCGGCGACAGCGATCCCGACATCTACTACACTAACCGTAAAGGAACAAGAGACATCGAGTATCTCTCAATCGGCGTCGATAATCTTCCTCTCTTCGCTGGAAGAACAGCTGTTCAGGTAAGTCAACCCCAGCGTTTGCGTTTCGATCAGCGTTTTAAAACTGAAATTAACAAAACCGATTTCGATTTTTCGAAATCATCAGATGTACAGCGATTACATGAGTAGCTTCAAAGAAAACATGGCGGATTTGCTGGAATCCGGCGCGATTGTTGACATCGAAGTCGGACTTGGTCCCGCCGGCGAGCTTCGTTACCCTGCTTACCCACAAAGCCAAGGTTGGGTGTTTCCGGGGATCGGAGAATTTCAGGTTAATTTCGTAAATTTAAGCAATCATGTTTTGGTTTTGCCGATTTTACCCCATGAATAAACGGTGCGTTTTGGTGGTTTTCAGTGTTATGACAAGTACCTGAAGAAAGATTTCAAGGAAGCGGCGGCGAAAGCAGGCCATCCGGAGTGGGATTTGCCGGACGACGCCGGAGAGTACAACGACAAGCCGGAGGAAACTGGGTTTTTCAAGACAAATGGGACTTATGTCTCGGAGAAGGGGAAGTTTTTCTTGACATGGTACTCGAACAAACTCATCTTTCATGGAGATCAGATCTTAGGAGAAGCCAACAAGATCTTCGCTGGACTTAAAGTTAACTTGGCTGCCAAGGTACTACTACAAACAATAAACATATACATCAAACCGAACCGACAAAGCTAAAATTACATAAACCGAACAGACCAAACCGAAATTACATCAAACCGAACATGACCAAACCAAAATTGCACCAAACCGAACAGAAACTAGTAGATCACAACTTGTTTCATTGGGATTTGGTGCTAATAAAACCGGGAAAGAAATAACAAACCGTAAACCGAAATATATAACATTTGCCGGAGATAACTTGTCTTGCAAGGCAACTAATGTAACTTTGTATGTGAATGGGGTAGGTTTCGGGGATTCACTGGCTGTACAACCACCACAGCCACGCGGCGGAGCTGACTGCCGGATATTACAACCTTTACGAGAGAGATGGTTACCGTCCCATAGCTAGGATGCTCTCAAAACACTACGGCATTCTCAACTTCACTTGCCTTGAGATGAAAGATACCGACAATATCGCTGAAGCCCTAAGTGCTCCTCAAGAACTTGTTCAAATTGTAATGAAGATGATAAATTTGTAAGTTGATTCAAAGTCATCAAATCTGATTTTTTTTTCTGATAAGTCGGTGATGTAATTAGGTGTTGAGCAAAGCCTGGAAAGAAGGCATAGAAGTCGCTGGTGAGAACGCATTAGAGACCTATGGAGCCAAAGGTTACAACCAGATTCTTCTTAACGCGAGGCCTAACGGTGTTAACCCGAACGGTAAACCGAAGCTGAGAATGTACGGTTTCACGTACCTAAGGTTATCTGATACGGTCTTTCAAGAAAACAACTTTGAGCTGTTCAAGAAGTTGGTGAGGAAGATGCACGCTGATCAAGTAAGTGTACATATACATATTTTTGAAATTCGTATAATGGTTCTTTTAAGTAACTAAAACTTATACGTTTTTGGAATGGTAACAATATAAGGATTACTGTGGAGACGCGGAGAAGTATGGACATGAGATTCTGCCGCTGAAAACGCAGAATTCGCAGCTGACGGTGGAGGATATCGCCGACGCGGCTCAGCCAAGCGGAGCATTCAAGTGGGACTCTGAAACCGACATGAAGGTTGATGGTTGATCCCCTCGAAAATATTCAAACAAATTAAGGGAAATGAAGTGATAATAAAATGGTTTTTGCAATTACTACAACAAAAAATTATATTGTGGCTACAAACTCTTTGAATCTGTCGCGAGTTTTTGTCGTAAGTTTTCGGATTACCGGAAGAAATAAACGGTGTTGGTGTGTATATTGTGTGAATTGTGAAGGGTGTTTCTTATTGAATAAAGTTTGTGTAATTCTGGTTGAATAAAGTTTGTGTAATAAAATATAAATAAGCTTTTGTTTGTAAGAGTAGTGCACTGCATCATCATCTCATAATATATAGTTGTACACTCAATATCACTTATTCAATATCTCATGTAGCACTTTATGCATTGACATGTGTCATCTATATTTAAAGAAAAAAACGTAAATACATTAAAAAATTGATATGTATTCTTTATAATTTATATACTAAACATAAGCAATAAAGATAACTAATATAATCTACAAAACAACAAAATTACAATAGAAATTTTACAATAATATTTAAATAATATATTCTAATAAAATAAGATTTTTTTTCAAGACAACTTTGAAATACTATCACGTGGCACTTAATGCACTGACATGTGTCATTTATATTTAAAGAAAAAAATGTAAACACATTAAAAAAAATATGTATCCTCCATAATTATATACTAAACATAAACAATAAAGATAACTAAATATAATCAACAAAACAACAAAAATTACAATAGCAATTTTACAATAATATATAAATAATCTATTGTAATAAAGTAAAATTTTTTTCCAGGACAGAAACTGACATGTGTTATTTTTTAATTATTTATATTCAATTTTCTTTTACCAAACAAACAAAATTAAGTTTTTTTTCCCTTTGTCCAAAGTTTTATAACTTTTAAGAGTTGATTGTGACATTGTTTTACGCAAAAAATAGATTCATTTCTTTATGTTATCTTTGTGGCCAAACGAACAGAAAATCATGTATTGTTTGATTTCATAAAATATTTTTATTAATGGCTTACTTATTTCTTTTCTACTTCATCGAACATCAAACTGCCACCACTATCACAATCTAGATTCTACTCTCTAGGACCTTCTTTCCGATCATCTCCACATTCTATTCTAATAAAGTAAAGTTTTTTTTTCACGACAGCTTTGAAACGCTGCCATGTGGCACTCTAGACACTGACATGTGTCATCTATATTTAAAGGAAAAAAGTATAAACACATTACAAAAATTGATATGTATCCTTCATAATTATATACTAAAAAGAAACAATAAAGATAACTAAATACAATCTACAAAACAACAAAAATTACAATAGAACTTTTACAATAATATATAAATAATATATTCTAATAAATTAAGGTTTTTTTTTCAGGACAGAAACTTACATTTGTCACTTTTTTTTCAACTATTTCTATCGAATTTTTTTTCACCAAACAAAAAAAAATTAAGTTTTTTTTCCCTTTGTCAAAAGTTTTGTAACTTTTAAGAGCTGACTGTGACATTTTTTGCGCAAAAAATAGATTCATTTCTGTATGTTATCTTTGTGGCCAAATGAACAGAAAGTCATGTATTGTTTGATTTCATAAAATATTTTTAGATTAATGGCTTACTCATTTCTTTTCTACTCCATCGAACATCAAACTACCACCACTATCACAATCTGGATTCTACTCTCTAGGACCGTCTTTCCGATCATCTCCGCATACTTTCTCGGAATGGTGGCAGCTTCACTTTGCTAATAAGATCAACATCATTCTCTTTTATATTATAATATTATCATATGTCACTTTTTTTTAATAAAGTTAGATTTTTATGAGAAGCAGTTCTGATATGGTATCACGTAGCATATAAGAAACTGACATGTGTTACTTTTTTATAACTATTTTTATTGAATTCTTTTTCACCAAATAAACACTAAAACAAATTTTCAATGTTTTTTCCTTTTCTCCAAACGATTCTTTTTCATCCAATAAACAAAAACGAAAATCAACCTAAAAATATGCGATTAACTTCCACCTAACTTATCATGATATGTATGTCACAATATCAAGTATATTAACTGAGATTTTAATAAACTTTATCTTGACATCTATTCTAGATGTTGATTTTGTAATTTAAGACTTATATTGAACACAAATACAAACTACACAAGAAGAATATGACAATTGTGCTATATGTTTTGATAATCTACAATGACCAAAAAAATATCATCATTTTATTTTGTAATCACATATTTCACCAAAAATATATTTCAGATTGGTTATACTACAAGATAAATAATTTGATTATATACTTATATCGAATAAAACAAATCTCATTCACTATAGATATTATTATTCTACCAATTTTTCAATATAAAATTTTAAAACTACATGATAATCATAAATTAGAAATTAATATTTATCAACAAACATTTAACAACAAATAATATAAAAATATTTAAATTATCATAAATCTGCGCAATACGTGGACCTTCTCTTAGTTTACTTTAAATTATGCATTAAAACGTAAAATGACATAGTTTTAGTAAAATAACAAGTTTTAAGAATACTTGTTGTAAAACAGAAGAATATATTACTTCTATGAACAATAGAAATGATAGAAGAAAAAAAAATTAAGGAAACAAAAAACGATTCAACAAATAAAGATGTCATAACTAGAAGTTTAGAACAACTAAATGAAAAAAAATCTGTTTAACTGATTTTGTGAATAAAATTGTTCAATTTACATGTTCATCGCGTAGCCAAATATCTGTTTAGTTATGATCTTCTTTGTTTTTTTTTGCCATTTTTAGTATTGTATATTATAACTAGAATTGTATTGTAAAATTCCAAGCTTAGCACAAGATTTCAAATTTAGATTTTTTTACTTTTAAGGTTTAAAGAAATGTTTTAAGCTGGATGAGATTTTTTTTTTTTATATATATATAGAATGAGTTTCTAAACCTTTTAAAAAAATGAGTTATGAACATTAGATACTTAATCATGTTAAAATAATCTTTTACGGATTCCTTTTAATCATGTTTACCACATGTGTAATATTATTTTTAAACTGTCCGTATATTTTAAAATTGAATATAGAGAAACTTCAACCAACAACAAACTCGTTGTTCTTTTACGTAATTAAACTATATACAATAGAACGATTCGACATCGCTACATAATTTGTTTTTCAACTTTTCTTATTAAATAGACTATAAGAACGAACATATACCCAATATTATATTCAATTTGCTTAAATATTTTATAAAACTCATTTAGTTAGTCATGCTGACTATGACTTAAGAAAGAAAAAACGTCAGATTGACTTTCCACAATTGAAGTTAAAGTTAGGCTTAGGACGAAATAGATTCAACAATGTTGACTCATAGGATAAACCTTTTTAGAAATGTATAATATTACTTAGCAAAAATAATACATTTTTAAATTAAAAAAAGAAGAAGCAAAAAGCTGATGTTTTGGAAACATATCATTTAATTTGATCAAATTTATTTGTCATAATAATATATAGAAAAAACAACCCAAATTCTGTATAAAAAGCGTGGGATATCAACAGAACAGCTTAAGAGACAGTTAACCAAAATGAAATTATCTTCGTTTCTGTTACTCACAACTCACAACATCTAAAAAAAGCTCCCCCTTTCATTTTTTTTTTTTTCTGAAACAGAGCTTCTCTTTCGTTTTTGAAATTTTGCTTCCAATTTTTTCAACTTTTCTTCCTCATTTAGATTTTTTTTCCGCTTGTGGTTGCGATTGTTCGGCGCCGTAAAAAAGCGTTCGGACGTGATCGGAGCTTCTCTGCATGGCGGTTTGCTTCCGAGGGAGTACGCGAAGGAGATCGAGCTCTGCGAATTTCTCCGTCGTTTAAATTTCGTTTCTCCCTGTGGATTCTGCGAACGGCAAAAGCGATTTTCGGGGTGTTTCCGTGAGATGAGAAACGGAGGTTAATGGGGAGATTGAGAACAGCTTTTCTGGCGATCTCTCTCGTTATATTTATTTGTGTTTCCGAGGAGATTATTGCTCGAGACGGTGCGAATCGGTTACGATTCTCCGTCTCCGTTAACCGGAATTCTACTAATTACGGCGAATCTCACGGTGGCGATGTGGTAAAATTCATTGTCGTTGCTGTTTCGTTATTCTCCCTTTTTTCGCGTCTGAAATACAAATCCAGAAATGTTGATTTGCTCAAAATTTTGATTTAGATTTCAATTTTGCCCCCCAAAAAGTGATTGTAGCTGATTTTGTTTTTGACGAACATCTCACATTTCTGATAGGCAGAGCAAACATGGATTCATTGTAGAAAAGAATTGAAAGATAAGAAGAACAAAGATTGTCTTCTCTATATCCCTCGTGAAGCAGCTGCTAATGAGTACCTGAAACTCTCCTTCTTAACCGGTCTAACCATTCATCAAATCCAGAATTCGAGGGAAGAGACCGGTTATCGGAATTGGTTCAACAATTGGTTTGCAAGAAGGGAGCTGATCAGCAGTAAGGCAAAGAAGTTTAGAGTCTCTGCTCCAAACTTCGCACTTGGTCCTGCCCCAGGTTTTGCACCTGGTTTAGCGCCCGGTCCTGCTCCAACCCCTCAAAGTCATGATTTGGCACCTGCAAGCTCTCCTTCTCAACCACCGTATTCGCCGGCCGAAGCACCGGATGAACCAAGTCCCGCTCCACCACCAAAGAGAAAACCGAGCGTTGCTCCTAGTCAAAGTGTTCCAGGTCCTCCTCCTCCTCCACCGGCGAAGAAGAGTGATCATATGTTGATGAAACTTATCATCGCCGTTGCTTCAACCGCTGTGATAACGTTCGTTCTCGTTGCATTGCTGTTCTTGTGTTGCTTCAAACGCAATCGCAACAACGCGGTTGGTCCTGCAGATGGACCAAGAGACGAAGGACCACTTCTACATTTAAGTAACTTATCAGTTGGTAAGTACCAACAAGATTCAAGCTTTTTTCCTTCTCTATCTCATTCGAGAATCGTAACTCAGTTTTGCACTCTTTCAGGATCTAGTGAGAACTCTCCCACTGTTGCAAACACGAGCAGAAAGTTTTTCAGTGCTACTTCTAAAAAGAGGTCTTTTCTTTCGAGAGTATCGTTGAAGAGAAACGGTCCTGAGTTCTCAACAGCTGAAGCGCCTTCGTCATTAACTGGACTTCCTCCATTGAAGCTTCCCCCTGGAAGATCAGCTCCTCCTCCGCCTCCAGCTCCAGCTCCAGCTCCAACTCCACAGCCTCCGCCACCACCTCCTCCTAAACCACAGCCTCCTCCACCGCCTAAACTTGTTCGTCCTCCACCTGCACCACCACCAAAAGGTGTGGCACCAAAACGCCAAGGACACAGTTCCTCTGGAGATGGATCTGATGTTGATTCCGAGACTGGAGCTCCGAAAACCAAACTAAAGCCGTTTTTCTGGGATAAAATGGCGAACCCTGATCAGAAAATGGTTTGGCATGAGATCAGCGCCGGTTCATTCCAGTAAGAGCTGAACTCTCGAATCTTGTTAATTCGTTAACTTTTGTCTCTGTGGCTTTGCCTTAATTCGCATTCTGCTTTCAGGTTCAACGAAGAAGCGATGGAGTCTCTGTTCGGTTACAATGATGGGAACAAAAACAAGAATGCTCAAAGAGGAGATTCATCTCGAGAATCTCCTGTCCAGTATATACAGATCATTGACGCAAGGAAAGCCCAAAACTTATCTATTCTTCTCCGAGCTTTGAATGTAACAACAGAGGAAGTCGTCGATGCCATCAAAGAAGGTATAAATGACTCTTTCTCTTTTCTTCAACTCGCTTCTCCATTAGTACTGAAAATGCGATTTCTTCTCTGTTATCAAGGTAATGAGCTCCCTGTCGAGCTCCTACAAACATTGCTGAAGATGGCTCCAACTTCAGAAGAAGAACTCAAACTTAGGCTATACTCGGGCGATCTTCACCTTCTTGGTCCCGCAGAGAGATTCCTGAAAATTCTTGTCGATATACCTTTCGCATTCAAACGTATAGAGTCGCTTCTATTCATGATCTCACTTCAAGAAGAAGTCTCTGGCCTCAAAGAATCTCTCGCAACTCTCGAGGTAACTCACTGACACAACAACCTTCAAAACAAGAATCTCTCTACACATCACTTACCATCTCTCTGTGTTCTGTCTTGTCCTCTCAGGTGGCTTGCAAGAAACTAAAGAACAGCAGACTATTCCTAAAACTACTAGAAGCAGTTCTCAAGACAGGAAACCGGATGAATGTAGGAACTTTCCGTGGCGACGCGCAAGCTTTCAAGCTCGACACGCTCTTGAAACTCTCTGACGTCAAAGGAACTGATGGCAAAACCACGCTCCTACACTTTGTTGTTCTTGAGATCATTCGTTCCGAAGGAGTTCGTGCTCTCCGCCTCCAGAGATCAAGCCGAAGCTTCTCGAGCGTGAAAACAGACGATAGCAACAACTCAGATTCAAGCCCACAATCAGTAGAGCGTTACCGGAGCACGGGACTTCAGGTGGTTTCGGGATTAACCATAGAGCTCGAGGATGTCAAGAGAGCAGCGATCATAGACGGTGACGGATTAGCTGCGACGTTGACGAACCTAAGCGGCTCGCTTACGAATGCGAGGGAGTTTCTGAAATCGATGGACGAAGAGAGCGATTTCGAGAAGGCTTTAGCTGGATTCATAGAGCGTGCTGATGCTGATATCAGATGGTTGAAGGAAGAAGAAGAGAGGATCATGGCGTTGGTGAAAAGCTCAGCTGATTATTTCCATGGGAAATCTGCGAAGAGCGAAGGGATTCGTTTGTTCGCTATAGTGCGTGAGTTTCTGGTGATGTTGGAGAAAGTTTGTAGAGAGGTTAAGGAGACGACGAAGACGAGGAGCTATTCGGGTAAGAAGGAAGTCGAAACGACTCCGGAAAGTAGTCAACCGTCACCGGACATCGTTCGACAGCGTTTGTTTCCGGCGATTGCTGAACGGAGGAATTACAGTTCGGATTCATCAGACGATGATGATGACGCTGATGATGAGAGTAGTAGTTCATCTTATTCTTAGTTATTGATCTTCCGGCTAAAGTTGCGGTTGAAGACGCCGTTTGGGAGGAGATTGGTCGCCGGAAACCTAGAAAAGAAGAGAAAGTGGGGAAGCCGGAAAATTTTATGTTCGACAAAAAAGGCGTGGAAATGTCTCTCCCGTTGACCCAGTAAGTTGTTAGCTGATCCGAAGACGAAATTGCCCGATATTATTATACTTTTTCAAAAAGAACATTAAATATATACATTATCTTATATTTGTATAACTGCTGTATGGTATACGCATTTTTTAGATGTCCATGGAAAGAAAAAAAAAAGTTTATGTTTGACATTTTCCAATTAGAAATTCAAATTTTTGGCAATTTTGTTTGGTAAACACAAATGATTTTACACAAATGTCTCAAATTTTTTAAATCCAACATTTTATGAAGATCGAGTTTCCAGTAAAAACGACCAAATTTTACCATGAACTAATACATTCCTGATTATTCATGCATCAACTTTTAAGTAATACCGAAAACTACATGAATTATTAAAAAATTATTAATTTCATCATAAACTAATACATTCCTGATTATTCATACATCAACTATGAAGCAATGCCGAAAACTATATGAACTCTTGAAATGTTGAATTTCCGTCATAACTTTTAGAATTGTGGTTGAAACCAACAATACAAATGTCGTGAGTTTGGCCGTTAGCTGTTGATGACTGAACCAACACATGGTTACTCAAAACAACGTCATTTTGTAATTTGAGTGTGAAATACATAAAACTACGTTGTTTTGTCTTAAGTCGAGAACTAACCAAAAAAACTTTCTCTTTATTGTTTCTTTCTGGTTTGGGGAAAATTTTCACAATTTCAAATCTTAAAACCCTAGAAGCAATCAAATGTTGTTGGTAGGGGTTGAGGAAAGAGAGGAGAAAATTTTCACAATTTCAGATCTTAAACTCCTAGAAGCAATCAAAGCAGATCATAGAAATTTTGTAGTGATCCTCGTTGCTCCAGACAAAGTTTTTGGTTAATATCAGATTTTAGAAATTTTTGCAGTGATCCTCATTACTCTAAACATTATTCGATTGCTTTTAGGGTTTTAAGTTCTGATATTGTGAAAATTTCTCCCAAACCAGAAAAAAACGATGAAGATAGACTTTTTTTGGTTAATTCCCGACATAAGGCAAAACGAGGTGGTTTTATGTTTTTTCACACTCAAACTACAAAACGACGTCATTTTGAGTAACCACGTGTCAGTCTGACGTCTACAATATTGTCGGTTTCGACCACAATTCTAAAGGTTACGATGGAAATTCAAATATTTTAATAGTTCATGTAGTTTTCGTCTTTGCTTCATAGTTAATATATGAATAATTAGGAATTTATTAGTTCATGGTGGAATTGGCCCTTTTTTAATATTTCATATAGTTTTCAGCATTACTTCATAGTTAGTTGTTATATGAATAATCAAAAACATATTAGTTTACATATTAGTTAAAAACGTGGAAGTTTTCCGAGTTTCCACCAGCAAAAGACAGAAAGATTGTATAACCTTGGATTTATATTCCTTCTTTTCTTCTTTGGTGCCAAGGTTTAATAGATATAGGAACAAGAACACGAGAAATTTTATTGCTAAGGTAAGAGGAGATACAAGCTAGTCAAATGATTCTCCTCTCTGAAAATTATGTGAGCCTAAATCTAATGAGAATAACAATTAACCCAAAGAAGCTATTGTCAATTTTCCAAAATCACATATATGGCAAAAGCTATACACAAGAATGTGGGGTGGGGAAAGCTGAGGGCTCACTTGATAAAAGACTATCTATAGTAACTGTGTGTTTTGCCTTGGCTGCTCTCTTTCCCGAAAGGGAAACCTTCTAGAATAATAAAGGTTTCCCTTTTTTTTAACTAACTATCCCATGTCGCTTGGAAGACATGCCGTCTGTTTCTTAGCCACTGCAACAGTTCTTTATCGAGTGACGAGTCATTGAGGTTGGCATCGAACATCGGGCTTCCGAATACTCCCGGAGAGCTTTTGAACATCCATATTTTGTCCTTTGCCCACGGTTTTTGAGGTTGCTTACACTGTACACAGAGAGATAACAAAAAATAAACCATGTCACATGAACAGTGAAAACAAATGAAAATTGCATTTTCTCAGAAGTGGGTGAAAGTGTTGGAAAATTACCATCTGTGAAACCATTGTTTTCACTGTCTTTGGGCCATAAACACGATTCTTAGATGATTTGTGAACCTTTGCATAGAAGGAAGCAACATCTGGTAAAGACAAGCAACCTCTGGTTGCTTTCACCAGCGTAACATCTGGATCACTGTTTGTCTGTTCATACCAGTAAATTAGCTGCCCGAGACAATAGTTCTCGCCATAAGTCTTCCGGTACTCCTTTATACTCTCGCCTAACTTGTCAGCATACTTGGCCCCCAAATCTAACGGGCTAATGTATACAGGAGAAGAGATAAAGGACTTGTATTCCTGCGACATTTTCAAGACCCATCTGTCAGAAGAAGTTCAAGAAGATTTTGTTCTTTTTTTCCGTCACCATAAATGATACGAAAGAACCTACCCGAACTTTGAAGAAGCACTTTGTGTAGGCATAAATGTGAATCAAATCAGCTGCAGCATCATTCCGACACTTGTATGTACAAGGAAGCTCTCGGATCTCATCTCTCAACCTACATGGAGAAATATTCTTCGATATGAGTGTACTGTTTTGTAAAAGTGTTTTAAGCATAAGTAGTATTATGATAGGTGTACTCACCAAAGTAATGATCTCTGAAGTTCCTTAAGGACATCAGCAGATCCAGATGGATCATGGGCACGAATCTTGGATCTGAGTTCATTAATAATGCCTTCTTCCACGTGTTGTGACAGGCACTGAAGAAGCTCACCAACGAAGGAGCCATCCCCGCTCCATAAAAATGAGACTGTTTCTTCAGGAGAAAGCCTCTCCAGCGGAGGAGGAGCGTTCTTTGGATCCCCAAACACACGTCTCATAACATATCTTACCTGTGTATAACACTAATCAGAGACTACCTTCGATTGGGAAAAGCGTTTTACACAAAAATGTGAAAGGCAAAGCAGATAACACTATGTTTTTATGAAGAGAGATTGCAGTCACCTTGTCAAGTGTAACAGCCAAATTTTGAAGCCTCTGATTGTAGACACCCTCAGCCTGTATCATCAAAAAAATTACAGATTTAATAAGCATATAAGAGTTGGAAATAAGTAAACCCGCAAAAGGTTAAAACGAGTGACAGTCTCACCTGAACCTCAGCATCACTTTTCTCAACATCAAGGTGTATATCTGAAAAATATTTCCTCTTCTCTTCCAAATTATGCTTAAGAATTTCACCTGGAAGCTTAGTTCTCTCGAGGTTAATGAACCGCACCTTTATGCACAAAAAGCTTTTGGTCAGAAGTGGTAATCCCATCATTAGTGCTGCGATAAACGAACATAAAATTATTCCAGACTAACCACACGAGCAGAATACGCAACCACCCAATCTGGTAGCCCACCAAGTAAACAACTTCCCAGTCCAGCTCTTCCCAACTCCAGATAATCTTCTTCTGAAACTGAATTCAGTACACAAGCTTCTAGCATCAGTCTGTGTCGATCCAGCAGACCATGCCATTCCTTCAACACCTGTTACAAATATGGTTCAGAAAAATAAATCAACACTCAAGGTACAAAAGAACAGATCTATTAAACTTTGGTACAAAGAAACTAATTACTCATTAGTGAACTAGCATACAGCAAACCTCTAGCCCTTTAAACTCCATTAACAGAGTCAGTATCATTACTATCACGTATCTTTAATACCAGTAATACAATCATATATATGTTAACAGCGGAAGTACCTTCTGAAATGCACCTTCGCCAGTGAGATTCAAGTAGCTGCCTCTGCATACTTGGCTACCGCACAAGCAAACAGACGCTTCATATTCTTCCTTACTCTGTTGCAGACATAAGTGTGATTCTTTAGTCAGTGGAGTTGAAATACAAAGATTAACCCAACGAAATAATACTTTTTCTACAGTAGGGAATTGGATAAGAAGGGGGAGGGAAGAACAGACCTCAGTTACAGAATTGTAATCAAAAGTTATCTCTTCGCCGTATTCAATAGAACGTACTGAATAGATGCCAATCTGGTAGTGTCCATCCACCGCAGTAACCCTGGAAGCACCAGATGACAAAGGGGAAAACTGAGTGAACTGTTTATAACTTATTTGATATGAAGTCAGTCAAGGATCACGAGTTCTCCAATTCAATTGTTAAAAATGCATGTATGCAAAAGTAACAGAATGAGACTTACCAGTTGCGTATGAGCAGATCAGATACAATCATATACGCAAAGGTTGGTAAGTGTATTCAAACAAATTTATAAGAATCAAATGATATATGTATGCATTGATCCGAGCATATATAGGCAGGCTATTTTATGCATGCATCATGTATGTCACTAATCATAACAACTGTCAACTTGGTTCTGCTCTCTGAATCCAAAATTCTGGAAGAAAGGATGATTGAAAAGGGAGAGAATTTTACTTACTTAGCTTCACAGTTAGGTCGGCAAGAGTGACAGATTCGACTCGCATAGTTAGCCTTGTGCATGGCATCAACAACAACTAAATCATATCCATCGGCATCACCCTGCCGTGCAGCATAAAAAGTAAGTAGATGGTCTGAAATATTAAATACAAGTCCAAGCATCATATTTTCTTCATACCTTTGGTCTTTCAAGATATATATTGTAAAACTCTGGTGCAGGATCAGTTTTGTTTTCCTGTAAGGAACGAATTCCATCTTGCTTCTCAAACCACTTCCAAACAGGATAAACCTACAATATCCAAAAAAAAGTCAGCATCTACGTTCGGAGCTCCCTTTAGGAGAATGTTTCAATACCTAAGCACAGGATGCCCAGTGAATTTTAGAACTTATTTCTGATGCAGATGAGTAGTAACTGACAAACATAAAACTGAAAAGCTGTAGACCCACCTCTCCAAGAAATTCAACAACAAAATCTTCTTCGACAAAACCACCTTGTTTGTTGCACACAACACCGAGGCCCTACATTGACAAAAACACGTAGCAACAAAGCAGATTAACAAAACAGTCCTAAATAAATTGATGGATTTCTATGAAAGAATAACAAAGCTATACCTTCCGATAAGAAACATAATTATCATCAGAACGAATTTCTATAGCCTTTAAGACGCCTTGACACATCCTCAGTGTTCGTATATCACACTCTTCACGAGCACTCTCTTTGAGCTCTTCAATCACAGGCCTTAAAGGGAATACCATGGGGGTGTTTCCAGATCCAGTGAACAGCCTGACTTGTCTGTTCAGGGTACGTAAGACTACATCTTCTATAAATGAATGTTTATCCTGCAGTGACCAGTCCAATTCTCCAGGCATTGAATCAAGTAAGAGGTTATGGGTGTAAGGATCGATTCCATAAACCTCTTGCTCTAAAACCTCATTGCCAAGTCGCTTTCTTGGTTTATACTCCTTGACTTCAGGAAGTTCCATATCTAACTCTTCAATACCATTTCTTTGTGCATTAAGCTTCTCACCATAGTCCTCTGGTAAAGAAACCCGCATCTTTCGTTGTACCTCCTCCTCGTCCGCGACAATTGCGTACTTTTCAATCACTTCATACTTCCTAGTGACTGGTGGCACAAGACTAGCTTTGGTCATTCGTGCACCCCATTCACGCTCTTCAGTCACAGAATCAAAGGATTCGTCTGTTGTGAAGTATCTTTCGACGCGTGAGTCCTGTGATCGACCTTCTGAACGGATATCCGATTCACTTTCTGAAGCTGAAGCTGAGCTATAATTTTCACTCTTGCCATTGTCAGAAAGATCGGAAGATGTTTCACTTCCCGAACTAAATGATTTACGATTCAGTTTAGACAAACGCCTTTTGATTTCTCGGTCAGATGCATATTCTCCGTAATCCAAAGCACCATTTCCACCAAATGTGTCACTAGTCCGGCTCATGTACCTCTTTTCAGTTACTGATTTGCTCAACTTCTTGTTGTACTTAGAGGCTGATGAGAGCCCTGAGCCATCTTGCCATGACTTCATTAATTCATCTCTTCCATATGAAGAAGTAATCATCGAGACCTCTTCCAAACGTGTTGCAAGTTGAATAAACAGTGCGATGATCCGGTTTATGTCTTTTGCGCCTCCCCGATTTCTCCCTCTGGATACATAAGATAAAGTCAGAAGAAATCTTACCAAAACAGTAGTAAAGAAAGTAAAAAAAATAGCAACAGATTACCTACTTAAGAACTAGGAGTCTAGGAAAACAAATATTCAACACCAAGGAGTAAATGTCAGAAATAAGTACTTATAAAGCCTAACAAACTGAGGGCCATAAACCGAGCACATGGCAAGAAAACAATTATTGACAAAGAAGGAAGCCATACTTAATTGCTTCCCTGCACATCCGGCTGATATCCTCCTTGACAGATCTCAAACCATGACTAACATAGTAACCGTTTTTCATTTTTTCCTCTATTTGAGCAACCTGGTAACCAAAAATACATTAAGATTAAGAAACGATAGAGAAATGATAGCAGACATAATATTCAGCAGACACGGATACCAGAAAGCACCTTTAAAGCAAAGAAGTCAAAAGTATTCTGCTTCATGATGCCTCTAAGGCTTGAAGCAAGGAATTCCTCCACTCGCTTATACCCGTGTTCTGACTTTTTAATCGCCCATCGCCTGATACGAGCATCCCTGGATAGAATCGCCGATGATCTCCTTGCATCATACAATTTTGAGCGTTTGTATAAGCTTCTTCGGAATAACTCATTGGCTGAGTCTCGCTTTTCGACTCGATCAAAGTAATCCTTAAGGTTACCAAAATCATCTGTATCGCCCCCTAAGCCCTTAGACTTAGCAACATCTGGAATCTGTTTCAGACTCCTTAATCTGGTATGCAAATCACCTGATCGAGGATGCTGGCGTCTGAGCCAACTTACATTTTTATAGTTCAGTGTCAAACCCCCAAACTGGGAGCAGCCTGTGATGTCTACAGAAGATATATGGGTAAATAAACGAAGAATTTCCTCAAGCATGCTAGCAGTCACGTTTGTACAGCCGACCAGAATTATAGAGTCTATCTTCTCCTTGTTGTAAGTGTTCTGCAAGAGAATGTCATGTCAGATCAATGAAAATACTAAATTGCTCAAATACTGTAAACGGAAAGTACAGGGTATTCACCATGATACTCCAGAGCATAGAATCTGTGCAGTTAGGACCCAAAGATGATAAGTCAACTTGTCTTGAAATATCCTTGTATGAATTAACAGTGGCCTTCCAATGTCTACAAGTCATGGAGGCACATGCAAGTGATTTTACATCATATCTCAACAAATGAAACACCCTTGCTAGTGCATGACCATCCAACAGACCCCAGTAAATCCCTACGGTGCCAGAAGATCCACTTGCTTCAACATGGAAGGTAGCGTCCCCACATAAATCCTCAAATGCTAACTCATCCTCCTGACACATTTGTGCATCTTTCACTTCAGATTCTTCTCCACTTCCACCAGCCATCAATCGAGCTCTTTTCGTATAGCATGAATCAAATTCTGAGGTTTATGAACCAAAAACAACAAGAGAGGAGAGATTAAATGTTTAAGACATTTCAAAGCAGGAATTGAGCATTTGATATAACCAGAAGAAGGAAATAAAGAAAAGAAGGACATAGCCACCCAAGTTCAGAAACCGAGAAGAACTTCAAGAAAATTGAGCAAAAAAATCTGGCAGTTTGCATACCTGAAGATTGGTACATGTACTTGTCAGTGTCTTTCTTTGGCTGTCTTGCATGGATCCAAGAGTCTAAAAAATCGTTTATGGCAGCAGAAAACTCCCGGCTCTTGAATGTTTTCATAACCAACTGATGGAGTTTCCCACGGAAATAACCAATAAACTGAGGGTGCATACCATGGAACGAGCTTAGACTTGTGCCCACTTCAGAAAGATTGGAATCATGTGACTCTGCGACAACAAGGCCTTTACAATCTGAAGGCATAGCTGGGTTTTTCCCCTCAACCTTGGCAATGGTTTCAGGAGTTTTTGTGATAGAAGTAACAGGGACCCAGATTTTATCAGATTTCCTGAAGACACTGCTGTGGCTCTTTATGAAACCTTTATCCACCAATATCTGGAGCGCCGAAAATGGCAGAGGTCCTTGTTCTTGCCCAGCCCCATCCATGTAGAACCAATCACCCAAATGCAATTGCAAATCATCAACTGTACACAGACGATCCCTAGGGGTGTTACCAGATTTGTCGGTTCTCCAAAATCCCTGCATATCTTGACTATCGCAAGCTGTTGATTGAGAATGACTTTCGACTGATTCCCTCTTGGAATCACCAGATGCAGGGGATGGACGAGCAGGCCTTGAAGAGCACTTTTCCCTACCACGAGCTTTTACACGGGGATCAGGAACTGATGAAACTTGATCATTAACCACCAATGAGTTAAGCCTGACTACAGACAGCACACTAGCCTTTACTCCCCTCGCTTGATTTCTCTCATCTACACCAGAAAAAGCCCACAGGGGAAGTTCAAGCCTAGAGCTACCGAGAGGAAGATACAAATCATCCTTGTGATGCCGCCGAGGATCCTCATAACCAGACTTATGCATCAAGCACAACGGGAAACCATCATTCAGAACCCTTTTCTTTTTGTAATATCTATCTTGAGAAGCTTCATCGTGTCTTATCCAGTCCCCGCCTTTGCAAGACCACCGACCTGAAAACCAGCTACCTGTCTCATGGCTCTCCAAACTATCAACATTGTCTGACTGAAATTCTCCGATCTCCTTTGTCTTGGGCTCGGAACGTACCGACAACTTCTTAGCCAGGTGACCCTCCGGATCTTCCACTTCATAGCGATGCCAGGTGATATCTGCATAAACCAGTACAGCTTCTCAATAGTTTCATGAAAAACATGCAGCTAAACAAGAAGCTATGACTATTCAAAATAGATGTCGTCTAAACAAATCTCCATGTTCATGCACAACCCATTATATGGCGGTAGGCGGCTATTACATCTACAACAAACATCAAACACTTACAATGATTTTATACATAGATATAACTGGCCATATAACATATCTAACATAGTAGATATACACATTTGTATCGTTCTGTTTCCTGATAGTAAGAGAAGTTGGCAAAGTTGGGAATGGAAACTGCCAGAAATGAAAAGAAGCAAACAGAAATTTTATTGTCATGCTACAACAAAAGTGCAAGTGGTGCCAACGAAACATACCTTCCAAACTCACAGAACTTCTCGTCTCTTCAAGCTCTACTTCAACCTGTAGTGCTTCTGCAACGTCATTAAAATAAGTCTATCTTAGGTATAGCATAGCAATAAAGTAAATATGTGAAGAAAACATATCAAGAAAAATGATGCAGATATCTGCTAGCAATCCGTGCTGAAAAGGCATCAAATTTGTGGCTGGAAAGATAATAATGTACATCTATTACAGTACCTCCAAGTGTTTCAAGTTCCCTGCCAGGGGTGATAGTATAACCCTCCAAGAGACTCGCGATCCTCTTATCAATTTGGAAATTTTCATGATGATCTACTAAATCTTCATTTGAATCAAGTATGGACCCTGAATCAGGCAAGGAATCTCCAGCTTCCTGCTCCATAGAAACTGCTTCGCCAGCATCTGAAATATCTTCTAGTAAATTACCTGGCGCTTCAGGAGGATTGACAAGCTGTGTCACTGCATCTGACACTACCGATGGAAAATTCATGGTGACCACAGGAGATGATGCATTTTCAATAGTGACCCACCTATTATGATCTGAATGTTTAATCATATGATCAGAGAAAAGAATGCCTTGCTCCATACGAGCTTTAAGCTCGGATAACTTTGCAGGCCCATGTTCCACGCCACAGTAATCAAGATAAAACCACTTCCCCAAGGATAAATCAGCCGCCATAGGCTCATGCGGTGTTGTGTCAGTCGCCGAAGGCTCATGAGGTGGTGTGTCACAAATGTCCATATCTACCTCCATTGATGGCAACTCTTCGGAAGGGGTTTCGCCAACTTGCACAGATTCTTTTCCTTTTACACACGGACTTGGAATCTTGGTTTGATAACCGACAGAATTTTTCTCAGCCACCGGATTATTGTTGTACAAAACGTTTTTACCTTGCGATTCTTTGTTTGATGAGGTCGACTCTTTTCCATTAGAATCCTTATTTCTGTGCTTCTTCTCAAGCTCCATACCAATCTGAGAATCTCTCCTCTCCCTAACTCCACCTTTTCTGCTTATTTCTCTGTGGCCATTACGCCTGTTACGATCGCTCTGGGGATCTTCCAGATAGTTAGGAGTACAGTCCCTGCGATCACTAGGCCTATGAGGTGACCACTCCGAGTAACTTGGACTTCTTCTATAATCATGGTGTCGGCTGAGGTCACGTGGAGACCTTTTATGAGCATGTGAAGACTTCTCAAAGATGTATGGCGATCTCTCTCGGGCATATGGCGACCTCTCCCGATGGACTGGACTTCTATCTCTGTGTTCATGGTACCTAGACCGGTCGTGTGGGGACCGTTCAGATCGTGCAGGGCTGTGTCCATGTCTGTCTGGAAAAGCCCTGGCAGGGAAAGATGAGTCTTGGTACTTTCTAGGATACTTTTCCAGAGATGAAGTTTTTGATGAATAGGAATCTCTGTACATTCTCTCCAGAGAGTTCCGCGAATAGTGGTCAGAGTGAAGAGAGCGGGAACAATCATCAGAAACTTTTCTATACTTGGAGCTTCCATAATCCCCATAATCAGCATAGGGGTGTTTGCGCTCAGTGCTATCTGGTTCAGCTGCGTGTCGCTTCAATTTGTTCACAGTAGAAGAGTACTCCTTTACGAGATTATTGGGATTGTTGTATTCGTTCTTGTGTGAATTATCCTCTATTACAATTTTAGAACTGATCCTCGAAGCTCTTTCATTCCCACTTCTGAACTCTCTCCGGCGATACATATCATCATTCGCAAACCTTCCACCAGGCGGGGTTCGTTCGTGTTCATAATCATATTCATATTTCCACGTTCTCTCTCTGTCTGCTCCATTCCTACGAGATCTGGTGTAACTATGATCATCCTTATGCCATCTGTCTGGGATGAACTCCCCATTCTCAATTTCATCACTGGGATCTCTCCATGATCTGAATTCTCTCTCTTCTTTCCTGTACTTATCTGTGGAAAAATCCCTTCTCTCCACATACCCTTTATGATACTGCAGGTTACTGAAATCCCCCTTCGTGGTTTCATCCTTCTTCCAACTCTCCCCAGCGATCTCGCCCTTTTCGATCTCACTCCTCTGCAACGACAATACTGGAGAGATCTCACCGTTCTCCAAACCCACATGAGACTTTATCGTACCCAATTCACCTTCTTCCACTTCATCCTTAAACCCAGAGTCTCCACCGTTTTCCACAGTTCCTCCTTTTCCCTGAACAGATTCGCTCTTCTTATCTTGCTCATCCTGATCTTTCGGCTGCAGCTGAGATTCTCCAGGGGGTTGCACTACCTGCAGTTTCGGCTGCTCCTCTGCTTGTTTCTGCGGTTGTTTCTGCTTGGGCTTCCTCACGACAACTTTACGAATTACCTTCACAATTCTCTTCTTCTTAGGTGGCTGAGACGCTGAGGGTTTAGCTGGCTGAGACTCCGGGAGCTTATTTGAGATTGATGTGTGACCATTCTCCGAAGTACCAGCACTCTTGGTGTCATTGTTGCCTCCACAAAGCGTCTTCTCCACAGTTGGAAGCTTTTCCATGATATTCAGCAGAGGCATGCATGCGACACCCCCATCGCTCATGGAAACCCCACCAATTTCTCTTTTACCCAACGCTTCCCTAAGTTTCCCCTTTTCCGGGGAAATCAACACTCATGCTTCAGAATCCACCGCCCAAGTTCGTCGCCGTCAACAACCTGCAAACACCGAAAAAGCAATCAGTGACAAAACTGAATGTAGGGTTTTCCCCAGCGTAAATTACCCAACGCGAGATTTTTTGAGAAAAGGGGAAAGAACGAAAATCTCAAAACCCTACAGGGGCAATTGATGAAATATAGGAGACGGAGAGACGCGAAAAAACAAGGAATTGAAGCGGGAATTTACCGGGAGGATAAGGAAACCTAGAGAAACGGATCAAGAAACCTTGAATGGAGCTGGGAGGAATTTGAATGAACGTGAGAAGGATGAAAATTTATCCAGAAGAAGAGAATAGATCGAGGTCAAAGAAGACAAATCGAGAAGAAAACCCTAGAAGCTCTCACTAAATCTATTATCTATCTGTTCCCGTTTCGCCGGGAAATCTCTGTCGCCGCGTGTTTCTTCTCTCTGCGACCTTCGCTTCTCTTCTGTATCGTTGTGCTCTCTCTCTCTCTCTCTCCGTTATGTTTTCTGAAAGAAGAAGCCGTCGCGTTAACACATTTTTCTTTTCTGTATATTTGAGTTATTTTCCTTATTACCGGATTTTTTTCTGGTTTTCTCGAATTAATTACTTCTCTTATAGTACATACATAAAAAAGAGAAATGGCAGCAAAAATGGTTAATAGAATAAAATGATAATAATATTATTATTAAATTCAATATTTAATATAAATTATGTTACTATGTAGCACATACAATCCAAATCATTTAGAAGATAAGATTATATTGTATATCGGTTATATCCTTATCACGTACAACCTGTTCATGATCATGATTTGGGTTAGATCGGATTAATTTGTATATTCTCAAAAAAATTCTAGTTACATTTAATAATATCAATATAAATATTTTAAATTTATTACAAGTGTTTAGGATCAGTCCTGGACAAAACCAAATATGGGTAATAATGTTAGAATAATCCAAATCATTTAAAAGATAGAATTATACTATATATCGGCTATATCTTTATCACTTACAATCTGTCCATGATCATGAGTTGGATTAGATTAGATGAATTTTTATATTCTCAAAAAAATTCTAATTACATTTAATAGTATCAATATAAATATTTTAAATTTATTTATGTACACGTGTTTAGGATCGGTCCTGGACAAAATCAAATATGGGTAATGATGTTAGAATCATCTGAATCATTTAGGAGATAAGATTATACTGTATATCGGCTATATCCTTATCACTTACAACCTGTCCAGGATCATGATTTGAGTTAGATTAGATAAATTTTTATATCCTCAAGAAAATTCTAATTACATTTAATAGTATTAATATAAATATTTTAAATTTATTTATGTACACGTGTTTATGATCGGTCCTGGACAAAACCAAATATGGGTAATAATGTTAGAATAATCCAAATCATTTGGAAGATAAAATTATACTATATATCGGTTATATCCTTATCACTTACAACCTGTCAATGATCATGATTTGGGTTAGATCAAATGAATTATTATATTCTCAAGAAAATTCTAATTACATTTAATAATATCAATATAAATATTTTAAATTTATTTATGTACACGTGTTTAGGATCGGTCCTGGACAAAACCAAATATGGGTAATGATGTTAGAATAATCTGAATCATTTAGGAGATAAGATTATATTGTATATGGGCAATATCCTTATCATTTACAATCTGTCCATGATCATGATTTGAGTTAGATCAGATGAATTTTTATATTCTCAAGAAAATTCTAATTACATTTAATAGTATCAATATAAATATTTTAAATTTATTTATGTACACGTGTTTAGGAACGGTCCTGGACAAAACTAAATATGGATAATTATGTTAGAATAATCTGAATCATTTAAGAGATAAGATTATACTGTATATCGGCTATATCCTTATCACTTACAATATGTCCATGATCATGATTTGGGTTAGATTAGATGAATTTTTATATTCTTAAGAACATTCTAATTACATTTAATAGTATCAATATAAATATTTTAAATTTATTTATGTACACGTGTTTAGGATCGATTCTGGACAAAATCAAATATGGGTAATGATGTTAGAATCATCCGAATCATTTAGGAGATAAGATTATATTGTATATCGGCTATATCTTTATCACTTACAACATGTCCATGATCATGATTTGGGTTAGATCAGATGAATTTTTATATTCTCAAGAAAATTCTAATTATATTTAATAGTATCAATATAAATATTTTAAATTTATTTATGTACACGTGTTTAGGATCGGTCCTGGACAAAATCAAATATGGGTAATGATGTTAGAATCATCCGAATCAATTTAAGAGATAAGATTATACTATATATCGGCTATATCCTTATCACTTACAACATGTCCATGATCATGATTTGGGTTAGATCAGATGAATTTTTATATTTTCAAGAAAATTCTAATTACATTTAATAGTATCAATATAAATATTTTAAATTTATTTATGAGACGTGTTTAGGGTCGGTCCTGGACAAAACCAAATATGGGTAATGATGTTAGAATAATCCGAATCATTTAGGAGATAAGATTATATTGTATATCGGCTATATCCTAATCACTTACAACATGTCTATATGATCATGATTTGGGTTAGATCAGATGAATTTTTATATTCTCAAGAAAATTCTAATTACATTTAATCGTATCAATATTAATATTTTAAATTCATTTATATACGAGTGTTTAGGATCAGTCCTGGATAAAACCAAATTAATACAATAAAACACCAATGTCTCTCATGGAGATGACACCTCAGCATTTTTAGAGCTTTCTGAAGATGACACCTCAGCAAAAATATTCACCAATCAAAAAATTTTATTACTACAACTCATCTACTTATTTTAACTTTTAAACTTAAATCCATTAAAAACCCAAATACTTTTTCTATTTATTTTTTGCCAAACCCAAGTCCAAATAATTAATAATAATAAATATAAAAAATTATTTTATTTTTTACCAAACTCAAGCCCAAATAATAAATAACAAAAAATTGTGTTGCCCATAAATAACAAAAAAAAAAAAATCTTTGTTTTTGATGGGCAACACAATTTTCTGTTTTTGATGAAAAATGCGATTTCTTGGTTTTCGTACGAAAAAACAATTTCACAGTTTTGGCGGAAAAATACAATTTCTCAGTTTTTGTCAGGAATACACGATTATGGATGGCTTCCAATTCCTTCCCCGTTTTCACTTTGATCAACCGATTCAACAGATTCCGACTGTAAATCAAGTTTAAACGCATTTGTGTTTTTAAGAAGACCATATGGACTATAACTATATAGGGTGGTGATTTACATTTATATTCAAAAAATCAATATCACCTCAGAGATATCATGATTTGAATGAATAACCGCTTCCGGCAGAGCTTCACCCATGTTCTCATTTTTATTAAGAGACAAATCACTAATATACATTTCTTGTCTCGTGGATTCCGCATGTCAATCATATTAAGTTCAGAACCAAACTCATTTTGTATTTGAAAAAAAGACCATATGGACTATAAATATATAGGGTGGTAATTCACATTTGCATTAAAAAAATCAATATCACCTCAGAGATATCATAATGACGAACCGCTTCCGGCAAAGCTTCATCCATGTTCTCATTTTCATTAAGAGACAAATCACTAGTAGACATATCTTGTCTCGTGGATTCCGCCTGTCAATCATGTTAAGTTCAGAACCAAACTCATTTGTATTTGAAAAACGACCTTATGGACTATAAATATATAGGGTGGTAATTCACATTTGCTATCTTGCAAAATTCACACTGAAAAAAAAGAAAAAAATCAAATCACCTCATTAATCCTAATCCTATCGGATGAATTATATTGGCTTTCAAGAATATGATCATGTTGCTCCTCATCTCGTCCATCCTAATAAATATGTACAACAAAATTTTAGTAAAAAAAATAATAAATACACAATTTAAACAACTTCAATCAACTTGCATAATATAGAAGTTGAACTTACGGGAGCTCAACGTGCATTTCTGTTTAAACAAATATATCACTTCAGTTTCGACACAGTTCCGACAAGTCTAACCTGATTCTCGCTAACCATAGTGCCACCAACAAACTCATGCACATGTTTATCTCCCTGCCAAGTATTTCAACAAAGTGATGCAGTTAAAGATAATACAATTGACATTATAACCAAATCAGACTGGAGATTATTCAATTATCGTCAATGTGGCCAAATTCATGATTACTACAAAAATTAAAACCACCTCGTTTTCCTCCTTATTGTGCGGCTTTGCAGGAGGTTGAATCACAAAGTAATTATATCGTTCGCTCCACTGGGTATTCACAGTAGTGTAGTAGTTATTTAAATTTCTCCAGTCTTTGTTTTTGTATTTGCTTTTTTGACATGTGTTTCTCTTCGGCTTTAGTGGCCATGATCCAGGCATCATGTCTGACTTCTTCAGTCCCAATTGCTTTAAGGATATATCAGGAAGATTAAATGCGACAGCATCATAGCATATACATGGCACATGTGAAAAAAACCATATGCAACTGAGTTGCGTACTCCTTGGGCAATTCAACTTTCCCCTCGGGAATGGTATACAACTGCCAATTAACCTGTGAAAATATAATCAAGTATTTGATTTAAATCAAATATACATAACCATACAGAGATGAGTGCTTTTGTTTAAAGAGAGAGAGTATAGTGCCAAAGAGACAATGAACCGATGGAGGATGCAAAATGGTGGGGGCGGAGAAGTGAGGTGGAAGTCCAAGAAAAGAATAATTTTGGAGCAGGTCGAGGAAGGGAACAAGACAAATGGAAATCGCCCTCGAATGGTTGGCTAAAATGTAACACTGATTGGGCAATTCTTGCTATACGCAGGTTTGGTTATCAAGAAGTGGTCTTTGAATCAGATGCCAAGGCGGTAATCACTGCAGTAGCAAGAGAAATGCCAAATCCTAACATACACTCTCTAATCCATGCCATTCTAGAGCTTTTATCCCACATCCCCAAGGCTTATGTTGCATTACATCCTAGAGATGGTTAATAGATAGCTAAGAATGTCTCTTTCATTTTTGAATTATGACCCTAAGCTGTATCCTATTTTGCCAAGTTGGAACAAACAAATATTATGTATAGGAGTTGTATTAATCTCTTGGAGTAATGAAAAATGGATGTTGAGGCAAAAAAAAGAAGTAATGAAGTATTACCTCATCTTCCTTTATGTTTCAAACATGCTTCGATATTCGTCCACATTCTTTACTTCACAGGTTTTTGTATCTGGTTTGTATACATATATCCACTCCAACATTAAAGGAAATTAGATGGTGGAGATACTTCACTTCGTAAGACAGGAAAACACTCTAATACAAATATCTATAAGAAAAAATATAAAAAACAACAATTCTCAGTAATCATCATTCATGTAATAAAAGTTATTAATTGTTTATTTTGAAGTTTTTACCTGCAGAGCTTAAAAAAAACTACATAGGATTGTGATTTTTTTTTTTAACAATTTTTCCTTTCACTGCATCTAATGATGTTTTGAGGACAGCAAACATTGATGCGCCCCAAGCATACTTGTTGACCTTCTCTCTTTCTAGGAGTGGTAGAAACATTGCAGAAATACCTCTGGTATTGTTAGGAATAACCACAGTTCAAATTAGATAAAAAACAAAAATATATAAAACATGTGTAAATTATTTTTATGATATGGTATCACGCACCGTAGCGCGGGTTTAAACCTAGTATGAGTAATGATGTTAGAATAATCCAAATCATTTAGGAGATAAAATTATACTGTATATCGGCTATATCTTTATCACTTACAGCATGTCCATGGTCATGATTTGGGTTAGATCAGATGAATTTTTATATTCTCAAAAAAATTATAATTACATTTAATCGTATCAATATTAATATTTTATATTTATTTATGTACGAGTGTTTAGAATTGATCATGGATAAATCCAAATAAAACAATAAGTTTGGTCTCTAATTTTTGCTGGTCCATTATACAAAAAACTTCTTAAGTGTATATAACAAGCTTTATAGTTTTTGTTGATTAATTACTAATATTTTATAATTTCATGGCTTACATTTTTTAATTTGTCTCTAACCCCCAAAATTTCAGAATTGTTTTGCAAGCGTCAAAAGTAAAACTAATGTTATTTATTTATGAAGAAGAGAACAAATCAAGACAAATATCTTATATATTTAGACTATACAAAATCATGAGAAGTATTATGTGAACTCTACTACATAAACAAAATGCAATATGTGTCACTTTTCTGCTTCTATACTCGTGTGTTTTAAGATGAACTTGTAGTTCTCAGTGACTGTGAGCTGAAACATATGTAAAAGCATTATATTGATTTCATCTCTTTATTATTCTTATTTTTTTTACTAAAATCTCGAACATGTATCTCGTTTTCTCTTTTTTTATTCACTCTCTGAACTCATAAACTTTTTTTAACATCGATTCTTCTTTATGATCAACTTTTTTTTAAGTACCTTAATCATTTTTCATCAAGTGAACACTAAATACCGAAATCTGTTTTTCAACTCTTTTGCATCCAACTAAAACCATACCTCATTTGAGAATTTTTTACATGTAATTTTTAATCTGTCTCCCCCATACGTTTCACATGCGACAAAATGGCATTATAGTCATTTACCGTGTAGAACTACGCCCAAAAGTAAGGCCAATTCTGTCTTTTACCAATAGAAAATCCATTTGGCGCTCAAGATATACGCTTTGAGCGGTAAGATTTTCACCGTTAATAAACAGACAATATTGACCCAAGACTTTAATCATTGTCAAGCTTAAAGAGGTTCTTCTGATTCGCTTTAATTTGAGCCATTAATAACACTTAAAAACAACTAAGAACCCCCTACCTGTTGTGGGCTTTGTAATGGGCCCATGTGATCAATGTCTCCCTAAACTTTATTCCAGAAGCTGAGAAACTAAAAACTTTGACTTCTTGATAAATGATAAACCACTATTTTGATGTGAGATTGATATTTTGGGGACAAGACAAACAAGCTTTGCAGAATAAAAAAGGTTCACATTCAATTCATAACAACATAGAAATAAACCCTAACGCATAAAGATGGTGAAGCCACATGTATCATGCCAATAATCTTCAAATCCAACGAAAACATAGCAAATGGTGAAGCCACAACAACACATAAAGTAGCTTTAGGAAGCCTCCGCAGCTGGTTGCGTTACACCATGCTTGACCAAAAGCTTAGTGAGCGAGTCAGGCGAGTGAACATGGTACTTAACACTCCCTGACGGAGTCAGAAACACCTCAGCGAGCTCGAGCTTCTCAGATGTCAAGCTCGTGCTGTCCATCGTCTTGCTCAAAACCTTGAGAGCGAGCTCAACAACCTCTTCCCTCGACGCATCGTCTTTATAGTCTTGCTTGAGAATAGACTGAGCAGCTTGATTGTTCGCTCCAACGGCTGCAGCTTTCCATCCACTGTAGTTCCCACTCGGGTCACTCATATAAAGCTGAAACCCATGGTTCTTGTCCCATCCCGCGAAGAGAAAAGAAACTCCAAACGGACGAAGCCCACCAAATTGCGTGTATCCTTGCTTTGTGTCGCATAGAGACTGAACCAGCTGCTCCACGGGCATTGGCTCTTGGTACATGAAGGTGTAACGCTGAGCTTGGACTCGAGCCGTGTTGATCAGAATGTTGGCATCGGACATTATACCAGCAACCGCACAGGCCACGTGGTCATCGATCTTGTACATTTTCTCAGTGGATGTAGAGGTTTGAAGGAGTTTGGAGGTGACTTTCTTCTCGCCGATCAGAACAACTCCGTCTTTGGCCAAGATTCCGATCGCTGAACCAGCGTTGCCGATGGCTTCCATGGCGTACTCGACTTGGTAGAGACGACCTTCCGGTGAGAAGATGGTTGTGCGACTATCATATCTACGAGACATTTTGAAACAGCTTCACCTGAGAATGATAGAAACGGCCCAGATTATAATATCAGCGAAAGTTTTCATCTTTATTCATTCTAATGATTATGAGTGGCTTCCAAAGATAAAAGATGAACATCTAAACAAAACCACCTTAAAAGGTTAAGCTTAAGTCATTGTTCTGCACAATTAATTTTCCTATAAAGCATATAACTATCTAAAAGCTTCTCTTAACATTTGAAGTCATACAAAAAACTAAGGCACAATAGAATAATCTCTGAATACTGATTCAATGAAAACCAACTTCTCACTTTCTCAAACCATTGGCTCAGAAAAAGAAATTGGGGAAAATGCAAGCAAGGGAGAAAATAAAAAAATCAGGAATCAGAGAGTAAAGACGACCAGAAACTAAGAATCACAAACCAAATACATTACAATTCAGTGTATTGAAACTCATTCTCCACAGCAAAATTAGTGATACCAAGTAAAATCATAAAACAGAACTACACCAAAGAATCGCGCCGAGCTAGGGTTTATCTACGCGGATAACAATATGATCAAAATCAAAGAAATCTAACGAATTACCCAGATTTGACAGGAGTCACTCCTGAATCCTAACCAAAGACAAATCGATCCCATCAATAAATTAAAAAGCATCCATAGAAACCCGAACGAATGGATTAGATTTCGAAGAATGCTAAGAAGAAGAACAGCAGGAAACAAACGGGTTCGATTGGAGAAAAATACCTCGAGAAAATCTCCTCTCTCACTTTCTGGGTTCTCGATTCCTTGATTTCGCTGAGAGCTTACTGCTCTATAAATCGATACTTGTTGTGCGAACTTGTTTGACAAGAAAAATAAAAGAACAAAAGCAATTAAAAAAGAAAACTCATTGTTCCTGGATTTCGCGATATGGGCCGCCCAATACATTAGAACCCAATCCGTCATAACTAAATTCCTTTTATATTTTCAAAATATATTTTGCTTATTTTTTCCTCTACTTTTTCATATATTTTGTTTATTTTTGTCAATTTTTTTTCAAAACGAAACTTATCTCACTGTTATTCGATTTGTAATTTTCTTAGGTGTATGATGGATGTTTGACTTCAACATTTACATCTCTGAAACCCGAGTTTCAGATTCTTAATATTCACCTATGATCAATAAGTTCAGTCGCAATAGAGGAAGAGGTTGACATCACGTTCCTTCCAGCTACTTCAACAACATCACAGAACTTATCTATCAAAACAGAGAATCAATTGTCACATCTCCACACCAGAGAATCCCTTTGATCAGATGACCAGAACCAGTTGCAATCAGCTTTGCCGTTTTCTACGATCTCTTTCCTCTCCCCTGTAAGCTCCACCGGAGACACATCCAAAACCTTTTAATTCTCTTGTGTATCACTCAAGCCAGTGGTTCTTCGCTGAACATGAGGATAGATTACCTAGCACACTTGATGTGCGAGGAAGAAGAAGGCCTAACCCTAGGCCCAATCCTAACCTTTCTCTATCCCTATCCCCTTGTGGGGCGACCAACTCTCCCCCTCTGTCGATTGTCCCACCGGTCTGTTGGATAAGCTTAGTTAGCTTCGAGTCTAAGATATCATTAACAAGTCGGTTAATGACAAGATAGGCTTAAAGGAAATTGTTAGTTCTTCCAAGAATAGGAAAATAGGTTTAGATAAGAAAAAGGAAACTATATACCTATATATATGACTACCGAAATGTGGTAAATCATAAGGAGAACAAGATGTTTAGTTTTTGAGTTATATTTTCAAACATAATAAAGAGAGATATTCTTTATACTTTGTTCTTAAGAAACTAGATTTTGTAGCAGAGCAATACTATTCTGAGATAATACGAAGATCATATCGTATAGTCATCAAACCCGAGCCATGGGTGATGCAGCAACTTCAGCGGAGAAGAAGGAGCCTATATGAGAATCAGTAGTATGTCTGATGCTAAACTCGACGAACTACACTGTGTAGTCAATGCGGATGAAGGTTACTTTACGAGTTAGTAAAGTTTGGGAAGCTATCGACCCAGGAACAAACGAAGCTGAAAAGAATGATGTCGCAACAGCTTTGCTGTTCCAGTCAATACCAGAAACTCTCATCCTTCAAGTTGGCGATCAAGATTCACCAAAGGAGATATGGGAAGCAATAAAATCAAGACACCTAGGGGCAGACAAGGTAAAAGAGGCGAGACTTCAAACCTTGATGTCTAAGTTCGAACGGTTGAAGATGAAGGAGTCCGAGACAGTAGATACCTTCGCCGGTAAGATATCAGAACTCACATCAAAATCTGCAGCTTTATGTCAAGTATTCGATGAACCTAAACTAGTCAAGAAGTTTCTCAACAGCCTACTGAGAAACAAATTCATACACATCATCGCCTCTTTTGAACAAGTGTTGGACCTTAATAAGACCGGATTCGAAGACATTGTTGGACGACTTAAAGCATATGAGGAGCATATACTTGATGACACAAGTCATGGCGAATCACAAGGAGACTTACTGTTTACAAAAACAGAGTCTCACGGGGAGAACTCAAGAGAACGAGGACGAGGACGAGGACGAGGAAGAGGTTCTCGGGGAAGAGGTCACGGAAGATCTAACACTCAAGACCAAAACAAAGAGAAGAAAGAGAGACCTGATGTTGTATGTTATCGCTGTGGTAAAGCAGGGCACTTTGCTTCAGTGTGTCCTGAAAGAAAGCAAAAACTCTGTGTGTTAAACAAGGTAAAAACGGAAGAAGACGAAGGAGAAGCACTTTACACACACGAAATTGTCTTTCTTAATGAAGACAAATTCATTCCTAAAAGGTTCGAAGTTGAGAAAGAAGGGAATGGAATTTGGTATTTAGACAATGGTGCGAGTAACCATATGACTGGAGTAAGATCTTTTTTTTCGGAATTGAACGAAAAGATTAGAGGAAAAGTCAAGTTTGGTGATGGTTCGTGTGTTGATATCAGCGGCAAAGGATCAATATTGTTTGAAGGAAAAACCGGTGAACAGAGACTCATGACCAACATCTACTACATTCCAGACTTGAAGAGCAACATAATAAGTCTAGGTCAAGCTACAAAATACGGGTGTGATGTTAAAATGAAAGGCGAACATCTTACATTATGAGATCCTGTCGGACGACTCCTAGTCAAAGTATCTCGATCTCCAAATCGATTATACAAGATAAATCTCAGAGTTGGAAAACCTATATGTCTGCAGTCAAGAATCGAAGAAGATAACTGGAGGTGGCACATAAGACTTGGCCATATAAATTTTAAGACGATGGAGTCTATGTCTAATATGGAGCTTGTTCACGATTTGCCGAAGATTAACGGAGAAAGACAAATTTGTGAATCCTGTCTTGTTGGTAAACAAACAAGACAAGCATTCCCAAAAGCAACTCAATATCAATCATGTTTTCCCCTGGAGCTGTTACATGCAGATCTGTGCGGACCCATTATGCTAGCAACGCTTGCGAGAAATCGATATATCTTTGTCATCATTGATGATCACACAAGATATATGTGGTCTATTCTACTAAAGGATAAAAGTGATGTTTTTGAAAAGTTCAAAACATTCAAGAACGAAGTAGAGAGAGACCTTGGAAAGATGATCATGACACTAAGAACAGATAGAGGTGGCGAGTTCACATCAAGCGAATTCCAAGACTTTTGTAACAAGAACGGGATCAAACGGCACTTGACAGCTCCTTACACTCCGCATCAGAACGGAGTAGTTGAATGAAGAAACCGTACGTTGATGGAGATGACTCGAAGCATTCTTAAGGCGATGAATGTTCCAAAGTATCTATGGGGAGAAGCAGTTCGTCATTCCACCTATCTGATAAATCGAGTTCCTACCAGAACTCTAAAAAATTAGACACCCTACGAATGCTTGAAAAGCAAGAAACCCAATATCGAGCATCTAAGAGTTTTTGGGTGTGTAGCTCATGCCAAGATAGACTCCACTCAGTTAAGAAAGCTCGATAATCGATCTCAGGCTTTAGTGCATCTCGGAACAGAAGCTGGCTCTAAAGGCGTACAGACTTGTCAATCCAACAACAAGAAGAATTATTGTAAGTCGAGACGTGATTTTCAATGTAAAGGCTAGTTGGAATTGGAAGAGAGCCGAGAAAGATAAACAATATGATTCAGGGAGGTTTCGAATGACATGGGGAGACGTTATTGACAACGGACATGGTCCGTTTGTAGTTGGAAATCAACAAGACGTACATGAAGCTGGCGATCCACATCAAGAAGAAAATCATCAAGAACAAGGTGATGAAACAAATGAAGAATCCAACGCTGGATCACCACAACAACCTCCTACACCAGCATCACAACAACAACAACACGTGGTTCAAGCACAGCCACAACTAAGAAAGTCTAGCCATGAATCAAATCTCCATAGTTACCTTGGTGACTATGTTCTTTATCAGTGTGATATTGAATGTGAGAAGCTGTTACTATCGATAAATGACGAACCAGTTAGCTACAAAGAAGCAAAAGACTCGCTGGAGTGGACGAATGCATGTGTGGATGAGATTGATTCCATTAACAAAAATCAGACACGGGTGCTACTTGATAAACCAGCTGGTGCAAAAGTGATTGGTCTTAAGTGGATCTTTAAGATCAAAAGGACTGCAGACGGCACTATAAACAAGTACAAGGCGAGACTTGTAGCAAAAGGATATGTGCAGGAATCTGGTATCGACTTCGACGAAGTTTTTGCACATGTGGCTCGCATTGGAACCATTCGAATGCTTATCAGTTCAGCAGCTTCACACGGTTGGGAGATCCACCATCTCTACGTCAAGACTGCGTTTCTACACGGCGAGCTGAATGAGGAAGTGTATGTTTCACAGCCCGAAGGATTTGAAAAGAAGGGAGAAGAAAATAAGGTTTTCAAATTGTCAAAAGCTTTATATGGACTGAGACAAGCTCCACGAGCCTGGAATACAAAGCTTGATCAGATTTTGAAAGGAATGAAGTTCAAAAAGTGTTCAAAGGAGAGCTCAATATATCGAAAGGAAGAAGGAGAGAAACTTCTCATTATAGCCGTGTATGTTGATGATCTGTTCGTGACAGGGAGTACACTTGTGATCATTAACGAGTTTAAAGCAGGAATGTCTTCAAAATTCGAGATGTCAGACCTTGGTAAACTCACGTATTACCTCGGTATTGAAGTTAGTCAGAACAAAGAAGGAATATAGATCAAGCAAGAAGCCTATGCTCAACGTATTCTGAAAGAAGCTGGTCTAGACAGTTGTAATCCTACTCATGTGCCAATGAAGTTTGGATTAAAGTTGTCGAAAGCACAAGAAGGTGACAGCGAGATCGATGCTACCATGTATCGAAGGAAGATAGGATGCCTAAGATATCTTTTACATTCTAGACCTGATCTCGTGTTTTCAGTCGGAATGTTAAGCAGATATATGCAAGATCCAAGGGAATCACACGAACATGCCTTAAAACAAGTTCTAAGGTACCTGCAAGGAACAATCACATATGGAATAACATTCAAGAAAGGTGGAACTAAGAAGCTCGTCGGTTACAGTGACAGTAGTCACAATATCGACCCCGATGATGGAAGAAGCACCACTGGACATGTTTTCTACTTTGGCGAATCTCCTATCACATGGTGTTCACAGAAGCAAGACACAATTGCACTGTCATCATGCGAAGCAGAGTTCATGGCTGCTACAGAAGCTGCGAAGCAAGCAATATGGCTTCAAGATTTGCTAAGTGAGATTACAGGACAAGAATGTGAGAAGACAACAATTCGGATTGATAACAAGTCCGCTATTGCTCTCACCAAGAATCCAGTGTTTCACCGCAGAAGCAAACACATTCAAAAGCGGTTCCATTTCATCTGAAAGTGTGT